TATAAAATGGCTCTTTTCATCTGTGGCCATGCTGTCCTTGGGAAAGATTGTGGTGGCCACAGTGTATGAGGGCCATTGTTCCAGTTGTTGGCTTAGAAAAATCCCTCAGACATGCACTGAAGACTCCAAGTGCTAAGACAGCTTTAGGAGGAGAGGTGGATGGGTCAAGGGAAAGTTCCAGTCCAGAGCACAGGAGTGGAACTCACCAGGATGCCCAGGATGCCCTGAGGGTAGATGTGAGTTGAAGTGGGCTGGACTCAGAAGGTGGGTCAAGCTCAGGAACAACAGGGTGGACACTGAAGACCTGGAACAAGAACCCCTAGACGTGAAGACTTCTTTTTTTTGAGACAGAGTCTCACTGTTGCTCAGGCTAGAGTGAGTGCTGTGGCGTCAGCCTGGCTCACAGCAACCTCAAACTACCTGTAGGGCCTCCTAAGGATCCTACCCCGGCCACCGAACCTCCCGCGTAGCTGGACTACAGGCGTGGCGCCACACTCTGCCGCGCTACATTTTTTCGATATACCGCTAATGAGTGCAATTATTCTTTCATCATTAGAGTAGAAGACGGGGTACCTCGCTTTGCTCGTGCTGAGTTTCCGAACTCCTATTTTAGCCAATCGCTGCCTCCCCTCCAGAAGTCGTCTCACGGACTCATAGTGTCGCGCCAACCCTGCCCTGCTGTGAACTTCTATATGCATCTCAACACACCGAGGCCTCGCCCTACCTACTATGGCCAACCCGAAGCTAGAGACTACATCTACGACCCAGGGGGAAAACATGTATAACGCTTATAGCTTACGCCGCTGGTTTCGAATCAAACATTAATAGCGAGAAAGCCACTCAAACAAGCAACACAACGCTTCAACACCCGTCGCCCTCGAAATATAAAACATTAAAAAAAGAGAGAGGAAAGTTGCCTACACGCGGACTCTGAGAGCGAACGCGGGGCGCACCGGCACTCACTTCTTTCTTCTTTTCCTTTTGCGCAGCACCAGTCTCGCCTGTCCCTCAGCGCTGGATCGCAGCAAGCCCAATCATAGTTCACTGCAGCCTCCAATTTCTGGGCACAAACGATCCTCCTGCCTCAGCCTCTGGAGAAGCTGGGACTACAGGCACACACCACGTCTGCTTTTTGTTTTCAAACGAGATCTTGCTATGTTGCCCAGGCTTTTTTTTTTTTTTTTTTTTTTACACCCCCACCACCCACCCCCTCCAGGCTGGTCTGGAACTCCAGGCCTCAAGAGATCCTTCCACCTTGACCTCCTAAAGTACTGGGATTACAGGCGTGACCCGCGGAGCCGGGCCTGTTTTCCTTCATAAACCTTTTGGCAAAATCTTATTTATTTATTTTTTGAAACCCTGTACCTTAATTATTTTTATTTCAAAAAATATTTTTAATGTATTTAAAAACAAAGAAGAGAATGGGTTACATCACAGCACTAGGCTGTTGGGAGGCCTCACATACGCTCCAAGGCGTAAAATAAGCGTGCAACGACCTCCTTTAAAACCCACCGGGACCAACTCAGCACCAGCGAGCTGCCGCTGGGCAGAACCCGGACCCCGCGGCGGGGCGGGGCTACGCTTGCGGGACTCGCGCTCCTCGCGGGAGGCGGCGGCGGCTGCGGAGTGCGCACGCGCCAAGCCGCGCATTTCCTTTCTTCCCGGAAGTATCTGGGCGGTAGTTTGAATGGACCCGAAGATACCTGCACTTGCGGCTTCCTTCTCCGGAAAGGAGGGAGACAGTGGAAGCCGGGATCCAATTCTGACGAGTGCCAACAGTGGTCTCCCCGCCCTGTCAGTTAGAGGAGGCCATTTGCTGTCCCGCTAGAAGGATCGTGGATGAGCCCCGGCAATTGGAAAGAGGGGGGCAAGCACCCCCACCCCGGAGGTCTAAACCCCGTCGCAATCACAGCGGCAGAGCATGAGGACGAGGAAGACCCAAATCCTCTGCCACCAATACCGACAGCTGATGGAAAATTTCCGACCGAATTGGGAGCAATCTGAGTTCTCCAAACGACAGGTTAACGGAGGGAGGTTCTTGGGGAAGTTAACGCAGTTTAATGACGTGATCTGCTCAAAAGCAGCAGTTCTGAATGCCCGGTGCCTTATATGGCTTTCAGAGTTCGGTAAAAGAAAAAGCAAGTTAGATGCTTGAGTCATTTGATTTAGCACTGTTCCTTGGATTTCTTATCTAAGATCGTCCCTCTCACCTTTGGGATATCGCACAGGCATATGTAAACTTCTTGAAGACATCTTTAACAATGCACTATATATCTTGGGGCCGTTCAAAGCAGAGCCGCCTCTGACAAGGCATCGACCTGAACGTCATGAAAAACAATGTAAAATTGAAGGGGAGAGCAATACCTGCACAGTTGGAAAATGCGGAAGCTTATACAATCTTGGAAGTGTTGCAAAATGAATACTTTGTGGAGATATTCCTAAGACTCCTTTATCTTTTTTTCCTTAATGATACAGATTTTATCTTAAATGGATAATAAAATCAAACAAGTATATATTACATAATGAAACCTACTTTTAAAGTATATCTGAAATTTGGCTTTTTAATGCCTCTGTCTTGAGAGTTTATAAAGATGTTAGTTTTACATGGGAAACAAATAGACTGGCATAGTCACAAAAGAGAAAAAAGTAAAGAAATCTGGCCTAACTTTCATTTTAGAGATGAAGAAACTGACTCAGAAAGGGAAATGACAAGGATCATACTGAATCAGACCTGGGTGCTAGAACCCAGCCATGCTCCTCTCCATACCCCATTGTAACAAACATTTTATGAGTGTGTCATCAGGTGACACTCATAAGTCTTTTCATACTGAAGTGCTGGAGGGAGATAGGGATTAGTTCTTCAGGATCTAGAAAGGCTTTTAAGAAAATCTTAGTCATCAGAGCTCTCCCTAAATGATAAAGACTTCTTTGGCAGATGAAATTGGTGAAATCTTCTTTTTAGAGAAGCTTAAGTAGGGGCTGGATGATCACCTACTGGGGTGGTTGTTAAGGGGATTCTTACCTCTGAAATCCCTTCCATATGTAGGTCAGATTCTTTGGTTACTGTATCAGCACATGTGCAGGAAGTATAGGGAGGAAGAAAACTAATCCCTCTTCAAAGTTTGCTTTGAGTCAGGTATTATGCATTTTCATATGTTAATTTAGTCTTCACAGGCATTCTAGATTGGCATTATTCTCAGTCTACCTCAGGAGTTCACAAAGGTTAGGTAACACGCTCCAAGCCATGCATATGATAGATAGCACAACCAGACTATATTACACATCTCCAGATGAGTAGGCAGGAGAGGATGATTACATGGTTTGTTCCCCAGCCCCTCCCTTGCACCACTCAGTAGGTCATCAGGGAAAGTAACTCCCATTGCCTTCCCAGCCAGTTTACTGGCTAGAGATGAAGCTGCAATGGGCCCACTCCTACTAGGAGAAAGGCATTTTGATTGGCACCTCTTCACAAAGTCTACACTGTTCTAGAGCTTTGCATACATGCAGATTCTCATTGAACAATGAAGCCAAACTGCTTTCAAAATTCCCAGTTTAATGTTTCACTGTGGATGAAGAGATTTGAGTTTCAGCTTTGAGACAAGCTAAGACCACAATGATAAGAACTAGCTTGTGAAGGGTGTAGGGTGAGACGATGGGATCTAGGGAGATAAATAACATCTGGAACTCAAGTAGTTTGTGCTACTCAAAGTCAACAAGGACCTGGCACGGTGGCTCACACCTGTAATCCTAGCACTCTGGGAGGCTGAGGCGGGTGGATTGCTCGAGGTCAGGAGTTCAAAACCAGCCTGAGCAAGAGTGAGACCCCCGTCTTTACTATAAATAGAAAGAAATTAATTGGCCAACTAATATATATACATATTTAGCCAGGCATGGTGGCGCATGCCTGTAGTCCCAGCTACTTGGAGCCTGAGGCAGGAGGATTGCTTGAGCCCAGGAGTTTGAGGTTGCTGTGAGCTAGGCTGATGCCATGGCACTCACTATAGCCTGGGCAACAAAGTGAGACTCTGTCTCAAATAAAAAAAAAAAAAGCAAGATTATTTGATATTCTTGGGTGAATGGCTACTTTCATCAGGGTCCAACTGATTTCTGGTGCCCCAGAAAGCATGATCTGACCTTCCCTTGAGAGAGAGGATGTGCTAAAGGCAAACTCCAGAGATGTCATCCTATCTCCAAGACTTCTGTCTTTCTAAAGATAAGTCTTCCCACCCTGTTGTTACCACTATACTCTCTACATTAAACATGTTCCTCATGTTTGCTGTGTTCCCATGACTGTACATATCTGTTTTCTGAAAAGTAGACATAAAGATGAAAAATTTCACCAGTTAGCTGTGGCCTGAGACAAGTCAGTCACCTTCCTACTCTGGTAACTTCCATGGCTACCAACTGGCCACAGAATCAAGCACAACTTCCTAGCCTCCAGTCTGGTACCTTTCCAGCCTCTTATCTTCCACAGCCCACTGGGCACCATCCATTCTAGCCACATCAGACTCTCCTTGTCTGGATTCCATCTTTCCCTGCCTCTAGTCCTCTGTACTATTCCATCTGCTGGAATGCTTCCCCCTCTCCACCTCCATTCAAATCCTACCCTTCCCTCAGAGTACAGCTTCAGTGGTTATAATACATCACAAAGCAAAGCTGACTTTAGCAAGCTTTCCCTGGAAAGACAACCAGGGACCAACACAGTTCAGGTAAAGGGGATAAATAGGTGGCTTTAAGTTCACGTCTAGTTCAGAAGCCACCCAGGGGGTTAGGATCTTTGCAGAGACCTGGAGAACCAACCTGCTTCCCCGAGGCGCCCGTTTCGTGCTGCTGGGGCTTGTACTACTCAGGAGGAACTGGGCAGCTGCAGCTGAGTCACACAGACGGTTGTGGGCCAGCCAGGAGCAGAGCTGTTTCTTGGCATTTCTCCCAGTTTGCCTCGTGGCAGACTTCTATGACTTTGCTGGGAGTCATACTGTACTCCACAGTGAGATACTTCATTCAATCAGAATTTATTCACCCCAGTGTTCACTCCCACTTTAGCCCCTTTCCTTGCATCCTTCCCAACACTCACCACCGTATCAAAATGGTCCAAAATGGGATTGCTCTGCTTGAATTGAACACCTCCCATCATGCCTCTTATCCTCTGCATGCATTTATTTACCTCCTGAAGCATACAGTCCCCCTCACCTGCAAACCTTGCCACAGCACACAGCTTGCCAGGTTGGAGGGAGTCCTGGTGCCCAGAGCAATTTGTTTTGCGTGTCTTTGTAATACCAGTGAGTTCACAAATGCTTGACTGAGCAGTCCTATCTGTAACTTCCAGCAGCTAACTCACGTGGGTGACTGGAGGGCAGAAGCCAGAACTGTCAGTTTCTGTGTGCCGCAGACACCCCAGCACCCCAGATGAGAGGTCTACCCCTCTCATCTCCTGGGCTTAGCCAGGTCTTGAAGAATGGGCTCTGCTGAGATCCAAACACATGAGCTGTTTGTTGGGTGAGCTCATTCCTGGCACGTAGCAGGTATTGAGTTTGTGGTTGAATCTCAAGCGAATAAAGGGAAAAGGTCCAATGTCCGTTGGATGAAGACTTATCTTTACAAAGCAAGAGCGGTCTGTGAACTTCTAATCTTCAGAACAAACTGTGGGCCCATCCCAGTCTGTCCACAGGACCCAAAGTCTTAGCTCCATTCTGAGCCATGATGTAGATGAGCCCAGCTCAGTGACAGCTCCTGGTTCCTCACTTTCCTGGGCAGCTTCTGCAGCAGCTTAAATTCCTGCCATGGGTGTCAGAGCAGTTGATCCGTGCTCAGTTACTGACAAACACCTGCCTGGGCTCTGAGCTGATGGGCTGGCTTCAAAAGGTGTTAGTGTTAATCATCAGAGGTCAAGTCTACTGGCCTCAAAGAGCCCCTGTGCACCTGGGATCCGAGTATCTCCATGCTGTCTTTGTGTCTTTCAAGGTTCACATCTTCAGGGTCCCACTGTGGAGAAAAGACACAAAGTGTACCTGGGTGGAACAGATCCTTTCCATCTATTACAATTTCCCACCCCAGGCAACAGCTCCAGTCCTGCTTCTCATGACAAGACCTGGGCACAGACAAGGACAAATAGGTAAGGACAAGTGACCCAGGCCTGTTTTTTTTTTTTTTGAGACAGAGTCTTACTTTGTTGCCCAGGCTAGAGTGAGTGCCGTGGCATCAGCCTAGCTCACAGCAACCTCAAACTCCTGGGCACAAGCAATCCTTCTGCCTCAGCCCCCAGGTAGCTGGGACTACAGGGATGTGCTACTGTGCTCGGCTAATTTTTTCTATATATATTTTTGGTGTCCAGCTAATTTCTTTCTATTTTTAATAGAGATGGGGTCTCGCTCTTGCTCAGGCTGGTCTCAAACTCCTGACCTTGAGCGATCCTCCTGCCTCAGCCTCCCAGAGTGCTAGGATTATAGGCGTGAGCCACCACACCCAGCCCCAGGCCTGTGTTTATAGGACCAAAGGGAGCAAGCATAACTTTAAGTGAAGGAATTAATGAATAGCCATCCTTTCTTTTTTTTTTTTGAGACACAGTCTTACTTTGTTGGCCAGGCTAGAGTGAGTGCCGTGGCATCAGCCTAGCTCACAGCAACCTCAAACTCCTGGGCTCAAGCAGTCCTTCTGCCTCAGCCTCCCGAGTAGCTGGGACTATCAGCATGCGCCACCATACTCGGCTGATTTTTTCTATATATATTAGAGATGGGGGGTCTCGCTCAGGCTGGTTTTGAACTCCTGACCTTGAGCAATCTGCCCACCTCAGCCTCCCAGAGTGCTGGGATTACAGGCGTGAGCCACCGCGCCTGGCCTGAACAGCCATCCTAAACAGACCAGCCCCACTTTCCTTCCCACCCTCCTTTTCCACTTTCCCTGCCTTCACCAGGTTTTTATCTAGTGAGATTGACTCATGTACCTTTTATCCTGAGAATTCTTACCTCCATGCATAACTCATTTCTGGAAAACATTAGGCAAACTCAACCCATTCTTTATGGCCCAGGTAAATACCTCTTACTCCAAGCCTACCCTGACTGCTTTAGCCCATTGAGTTCTCACTCCTCCTCTCTTTATATGACCTATACCATCCATTTGCACCTGAGTGTGGACTGCCTGGCCCTTCTTTGGACATTTGCCTTGTTCTCTCAGGCGACGAGCTCCTTAGTAGCAGGGCACAGGTGTTTCTTGCCCCCATGGTGTTCTCTCTATATCTGAGGCTCAGCAGACTTGTCAAAACCCAATTCAGAGTGGGAGGCACTGGCAGTGAATATTTCATCACTCTTAGAGCAAGTATGGAAAATTGAAATTTGCTGGGGTAAAAGTGGGCACATAAACATTGACGAAGCTGTTTGCAAAATCCCATTGTTTTACTATGATGGATTTATTAGTGAGAGAACTTTGCACCTGGTCAAGATCAATGGGATCCTTAGTGCTACCTTTGAAGTTCCAGCCACAGAGGCAAATGGGGATTGGGCTCGAGTCCTCCTCCTGTCACTAACCTGCTGCTTTTGCTTTGAGCCTTGGTTTCCTCATGTGTAAGCTGTGGTGTTGGATCAGCAACTAGACAATAACATCTCTCCCATTTCTGAGCTTCTGTGACTGATGATTCTAAAGTACAAGTCACATTGGACTGTATCAGGAGACCCGGGGGAAAAACAAGCAAGGTGACACAGGATGTGTCAGCCTGGGCCAGGTGATCTATTTGGGCAAGATAACTGAACCAGGCATGGACATGAACTCCAAGACAGACACTCCACCAAGCTCAAGCTGAATCAAACAGTCCAGTCCTTAGCGGCCCCAGATAAGGTCTTCAAGGCTCCCTGAGCCACTGACAGACAATGGCTATGCCATGCCAGTTATAAAACACAAACTGTGGCTTTGTTTTGAACAGAAATAAAGAGCCCAATTCAATTAGTGATTTACCAACAATAACTGAGCTGAGTACTAATACTTGGTGATTAAAAAACCCATCATGTTAAAAAGACCACCTCATCCCCAGTGACCCTGCAGGCCAGGGACTAAGACGACTTGGTTTGTGCAGCTCAGCCCCTGTACCTGTTCAGGGTTGTGCCAGCCACTGCCAGTGTGAACATCTCATATTGGAGTTGCAGACTTGGCTGGACACCTTTAACCGCATTCCCTCCTGACATTGTTAAGGACCCCAAATAAAAGCTCACCAGCCCTCTCAGACTACGTGACCCATGTGCCCAGCAGCAGAAGTAGGGGCCCATTCTGCCTGAGGATGGCTGTGCTGATGAATGCTGTTTTCCAGCTGAGGCCCAAGGCCTATCAGGGGTCCTCAAACTTTGTAAACAGGGGCCAGTTCACTGTCCCTCAACCTTTGGAGAGTGCGCGCTGTGGGCCCGGGACGAGTCGCCTGCTAAGCAGGACAGGCAGCGGCGGCAAAAACACGAGGTGTGCCAGATAAATGTCCTTAGCGGGCGGCATGTGGCCTGCGGGCCGTAGTTTGAGGACGCCTGGCCTAGATCATTGTTCTGAGAGTGTGTTCTGGACCAGCCCCGCCAGAAGTACTCGGGCTGCTGGCGAAAAAGACTGATGCTGGGGCCCCACCCTTGCCCCTATCTGTGGATTGAGACCTAAGGTTTGGCATTTTAACAAGCTCATAGGGTGATTCTTAGATGCCCTGATGATTGAGAACCACTGCTCCAGCATCTTAAATGGCTTCCTAAGAGTTATTCTTGTGAATCCTGAAGCTACCTGCAAATAGAAACAACTTGCCACTTTAATCAAGTGAATTCTTCGAAGTGGTACAAGTCTTAGAAAATATTAAAATCTCTTTCTTCAGAATCCCCAGAATACTGTGTTTTAAAACTTCATTTCAAGTAATCAAAAGCATTGCTGGAAACCAGGCATAAAGAGAATTTGAGAAAAGATGATCTATTTTCATATTGGAAATAAATAATCTTGGGAGACAACAGGCACAGATAGTTGTCATAAAACAAGCTCATCTGTCACTTGGAGGCAAGGGTGGCATGGAGACAGCTGCCTGGGGTCTCGGAATGACAATGTGTGGAATTGTTTATTCTAACAGCCACGACAGCCACACCCAGCATGGCTACAGTAGTGACCTGCAGCTATTCTGCTCGCTCATAGACCCTTGTCCAAGCTATGTTTCTTCATGTTACACACCTCTGAGTCCCTACTAGATATTTTGGGGTTACCTGAATACCCTCCCCACCTAAGCAGAAAGAACTCTGAACTGAGAGAGCCCTGAAAATCCCACTGATCCTTAGACTGGCCTCTCATTTTTATATTCTTTTATTTTTTTTAGAGACTGGGGTGGGGGGTGGTATCTTGTTATTGTGCCCAGGCTGGTCTTGAACTCCTGGCCTCCAGTGCTCCTCCTGCCTCAGCCTCCCAAAGAGCTGGGATTACAGGTGTGAACCACCATGTCTGGCATTTTACATTCTTTTCCTACTAAAGGAATTTGTGATGGGCCTAGCCATCCCAGGAGGTCTGACAAAAACAGGAACTGAAATCAAGCCATAAGAAGTCCCTCCTGGAAGACAGAGAGCGTGATTGTCCATACCTGCTCCGAGTTTAGGGCCTCCCAATACTTCTGCTGCAGAATAAAAAGAGAGATAGAGAAAGCGTTGGACAGATTTTGCCACCATCACAGAGCAGAGCAGAGCTCAGTGCCAGCGCGTCAGCTCAGTGAGCCAGAAGACAGGCCCTCAGATGGCTGGGGGATGCAGGGACAGCTGACTTCAGCAAGCAGCAAGGCAGCAGCTATTAGCAGTTACAATTTGGTTAAATGATCAATAGCATAATTGCAATAATTATGAAGGGCTGCAGGTCCTGGGAAAAATTATAATCTATAGAGATTTAAAAATTACTATTATTAGAAATTATTACCATTAGGAGTAGCCGTAATAATAATAAATCTCCCATTTATTAACCACATGGCTGAGATGATTCATCTCAAACCCATAAAACTAAGAAAGAGAGTTGCCAATAAAATCCCCACCTTGCAAATATGGGGTATTTGCTACCAGCCAAGACTCATTTGTAACCAGCGTTTACTGCATGGTTGGCTCCTCTCCAAACCTCAAATATGTCTGACTCAAGTTCTTGAAGGGCAGGCACCACTGTCTGCTCTCATTGCTCCGGCACCTCACGCAATGCCTGGGAGATGTGGATTTCTGACATAGAGCTATGAGTCTTCAAATGTCTGTTATACTGATTTGTGAATGTCTATTAAGTTGAATAGCTGCCAATCTGAACAGTCCACAGGGTTAGGGGTTATTGTCACATTAAAACAAAGCCTCTACTGTTCAACTCTTTTAAATTTTCACTTTATTTATTTATTTATTAATTTTTTGAGAAAAGAGTCTCACTCTGTTGCCCGGGCTAGAGTGCTGAGGCATCAGCCTAGCTCACAGCAACCTCAAACTCCTGGGCTCAGGGATCTTCCTGCCTCAGCCTCCTGAGTAGCTGGGACTACAGGCATGCACCACCATGCCTGGCTAGTTTTTTTGTGTATACATTTTTAGTTGTCCAGCTAATTTCTTTCTATTTTTTTTTTTAGTAGAGATGGCCAGGTGGGGTGGGAGGGTCTTGCTCTTGCTCAGGCTGGTCTCGAACTCTTGAGCTCAAATGATTTGCCCGCCTCGGTCTCCCAGAGTGCTAGGATTACAAGCATGAGCCAGCGATTTGCTCAGCTTAAAGTTTCATTTTAAATGAATCTTCAATTATAGGATTTTCAATCATATAGAAAATCAAAAGAATGATCTAATGAATACCAAAGGATACATCCTTTTTCACTGATCTAGCTCCCCAAGTATTTTATTTGCTAAAGTATTTAAGTCATTCCATTTGTAAATATTTTAGAATGTATCTTTAAAAAGGATCCTAAGGACAATGCTGCTATTACATCTAACAAAATTAGTGATAATTCCTTTACATTCATCTTTTAATAACATCGTGCTGGGGGAACATAAACTGAAAAAAAAATCAGAAGAGATACAAATGATTAAAAATGATGGTTTCACACACTGCAAAAAGCAGAAATGTAGATGACCTAACGTAGGGGTTGAAAAAGTTGAATAACTTACACATGTAATGAAAATAAAGGGCGAGATTAAAGAAAAAATACTAACTTTTTCACCTTTCTTTAGAAAATATAGATCTTCATGCACAATGTAAATAGTAATTTGAGGTTATAGTTAGTGGGTATTTTGTTTAAAAAAAATTGCTAAATTCAATGTAGTCTCTTGGATTGTATCCTAAAACAGAAAAAAAATTATTGGAAAAACTGGTGAAATCCAAATAAAGCCTATAGTTTAGTTAACAGTAATGTACTCATGTTAATTTCTTAGTTTTGATAAATGTAGCATGGTTATTTATGTAAGCTATGAAGCTTAGGGAAATGGGCAAAGTGCATATAGGAACTCTGTACTATTAATACTTTTGCAACTCTTTCGTAAATCTAAAATTTTCCCAAAATAAAAAGTTTATTTAAAGCCAAGCAAACAAATAGGCTTGAGTCCCCCAAACTGCATTGAAATGAAACCTCGCTTTCAGCCTCACGGGCAGTCTAAAACTTAAGAAGAGTGCCCTCTGGTGGAAGTAGTAGTCAATTATTTTTTTAAGTTACTTTTTTTCCCCCCTAAGCATTCAAGTGAAAGGAATTAAGTTACTTTTTATTTTATTTATTTATTTAGACAGAGTCTCACTTTGTTGCCCAGGCTAGAGTGAGTGCCGTGGCTGCCTCAGCCTCCCAAGTAGCTGGGATTACAGGCATGCACCACCATGCCCGGCTGATTTTTTCTATATATTTTTTTTAGTTGGCCAATTAATTTCTTTCTATTTATAGTAGAGACGGTCTCACTCTTGCTCAGGTTGGTTTTGAACTCCTGACCTTGAGCAATCTGCCCCGCCTCGGCCTCCCAGAGTGCTAGGATTACAGGCGTGAGCCATCACGCCTGGCCCCATAGTTTTTTTTCTTTTCTTTTCTTTTTTTCAAGTTGTGATGAACAGCATTTTTTTTTTCTTTTTTTCCCATAGTTTTTTTTAAACTATAGTCTGGCCCTCCAGCCGTCTGAGGGACAGTGAACTGGCCCTGTGTTTAAAAAGTTTGATTCAGCAGGCCGGGCATGGTGGCTCACGCCTGTAATCTTAGCACTCTGGGAGGCCAAGGCAGGAGGATCGCTCAAGGTTAGGAGTTTGAAAACAGCCTGAGGCCGGGCGCGGTGGCTCACGCCTGTAATCCTAGCTCTTGGGAGGCCGAGGCGGGCGGATTGCTCAAGGTCAGGAGTTCAAAACCAGCCTGAGCAAGAGCGAGACCCCGTCTCTACTATAAATAGAAAGAAATTAATTGGCCAACTGATATATATATAAAAAATTAGCCGGGCATGGTGGCGCATGCCTGTAGTCCCAGCTACTCGGGAGGCTGAGGCAGAAGGATCGCTCGAGCCCAGGAGTTTGAGGTTGCTGTGAGCTAGGCTGACGCCACGGCACTCACTCTAGCCTGGGCAACAAACCGAGACTCTGTCTCAAAAAAAAAAAAAAAAAAAAAAAAAAGAAAAGAAAACAGCCTGAGCAGGAGCAAGACCCTGTCTCTACTAAAAATAGAAAGAAATTAATTGGCTAACTAGAAATACACAGAAAAAATTAGCCGGGCATGGTGGTGCATGCCTGTAGTCCCAGCTATTCGGGAGGCTGAGGCAGGAGGATTGCTTGAGCCCAGGAATGTGAGGTTGCTGTGGGCTAGGCTGATGCCACAGTACTCTAGCCCGGGCAACAAAGCGAGACTCTGTCTCAAAAAATAAAAAATAAAAATAAATAAAAGAATATAGTCTGGAAGAGTGAGGCGGAGGCTGAGACTCTCAGCTGTGGCCAGTTTAGCAAGGAGCCCACCCCTGCCAGGTGGGTTCAGGCCACACCATCTGTCCTCACTTATGTGGTTTTCGAATTCCCATGCTCAGAAAATGTTTGCTGAAGGAGTGACCCAATGGCCAGTGACACTCATCTGCTCAGAGACACTTTCTGGCTCACAATCAGCCACCAATGACCCAGGACCTTCAAGGAATATTATTTCAAGAAAACAGAAGCGTGTCAAGCATGCCCAGTCCCACCACCTGAAGGCAGCTATTGGTTGGCTGGTGAGCTTGGGGGTTATTTTTAATTTTCTGGTTTACATTTTTCACATGTGCCAAATTTTCTACCAAAAACATACATTACTTTTAAGAAGAAAATATAGGCTGGGTGCGATGGCTCATACCTGTAATCTTAGCACTCTGGGAGGCTGAGGCGGGCAGATCATTTGAGCTCAGGAGTTTGAGACCAGCCTGAGCAAGAGCGAGACCCCGTCTCTACTAAAAATAGAAAGAAATTAGCTGGACAACTAAAAATATATAGAAAAAATTAGCCGGGCATGGTGGTGCATGCCTGTAGTCCCAGCTACTCGGGAGGCTGAGGCAGTAGGATTGCTCAGGAGTTTGAGACCAGACTGAGCAAGAGTGAGACCCTATCTCTACTAAAGAAATTGAATAAATTATCTGGACAACTAAAAAAAATATATATATATATATATATATATATATATAAAATTATCCAGGCATGGTGGTGCATGCCTGTAGTCCCAGCTACTCGGGAGGCTGAGGCAGGAGGATCGCTTGAGCCCAGGAGTTTGAGGATGCTGTGAGCTAGGCTGACGCCACGGCACTCTAGCCTAGGTAACAGAGTGAGACTCTGTCTCAAAAAAACAACAACAAAAAAAAGAAGAAGCAATGAAAGAACAAAAAATACAGATGACCGGAAGAAGGCCCAAGGGATCACATACCTGAACAAAAGGTCTCCTGCCCATATGCTAAGCAATCTATACTGGAAGCTTGACAATGCTGTTCGACCTGCTAGCATCTAGGTTTACTCAAATGTTAAGCTGTCTCTTTACAGGACCTCAGTGGCTTTGTCATTTGTAGTGTCTGTATGTGTTAGGGTATGAAGCAGGAAGACTGTGCTGGGAGGCAGGAGGGGTTAGGGGAGGGTAGGCCAGGGCAGCTGAGATTGTAACAATGTATCCCTTTAATACAGGCAAAAGCATTCATTTCCATTTTCCCAATTTAAGACCGTGACCCTGTCCTCTTGGAACTAATGTATTTTAAGCAATAGATTTCCAAGAAAAGAGAGAGATAAGAGAGCAGAGGAAGAACAAGGACTACAAAACAGAGAAATGGCCCAAACAAGCTATAAGGACAAGTTTCAGAAATTTTCAAGTTCACTGTCCAAGTTCACTGTTACCTCAATTGAGGGTGGGTGGCAAAAACTGCCCTTGTTTCCACTGAGCAAATGTTGCTTCCCCCTCCCCCCGGCCCCTTCCTGACTCACCAACTTAACTGTCCCTTCTCTTCACTGAACTCACTTTGCTGTCAAGCTCATTCCCTTTCCCTTTAGCCTTAGACCCCTGCTAAGACTGCTGGTTCCAGGCTGCCTGGGCCTTGGGTGCCCTACAAATTCTGAGACTGGATCCAGGAAATACACAACACAGAATGACACAGGAGTACAACCCCAAAGGATGCGGAATTCCTAACTCAAACCCAGCTCTCAATGGCCAGCTGCATCCTGGGATCGGGAGACAGAGAAAGTCGAAGGCGACCCAGGCCCCACTGCTCACCAGGCTACCCGGCAGCACTGGAAATTGTGTAAGAGAAGCATGTGATCACGGCGCTTAGAGGAAGCAGCCCTTCATCTCTGGGGGACATTAATCCTACCTGTTACTCTCTGGGTAGGCTTCTGACCCATGGAAATGGGGCCCGAGGGAACCCCAGGAAGAGAGCCCCCGAGGCCCGAGGACAGAGAAGGGTCCCCGGCCAGGGCAGAAGTTCCCAGGACAGCACACAAGGCTGGCAAGGCTGTGAAAGGTCTGGAATGACACACTGAGGAATCCGGACTTTACCTCACAGTCAGTGGCTCTGAGTTTCAGATTTCAGGGTCCAGTATAAGTTCAACAAATTTGGGAGACTTAAGATGGCTAATTGATTATTTTGCCAAATAAGGCCATTAAAACCCAAACCAAAAACTCAACACCAACTACCACTTACTATTACCACCGTTTCATAAAAGGGCATTGAACACCAAAAAGTTGGGAGGACACAACCTCAAAATGAAAGACAGTCCTTCCTCCACCGCCAAAAAGGACAGCTGGCAACCGTCTCCTGACAATCAAGTGGCCACTACACTGTCCTTGTTCTCATTTTTCCACAGACAAATGGAAGCTTCCTCAGGGAATAGGGCTGGGGACCACAGCTGTGGGACCAAGACGCCAGGACGGCTCACACCTGAGAGATATGCCTATCTGTGTATCCGAGATGTGACACGCGTGTTGTTCACAGACACAAAAACGCAAATTAAGGTTTATAAAAATGCTGGGCCTGGCGCCCACCACAGGGCCCACCTGTGTGCGTATGACAGCCCTAGCACAACAGGACGTGGCTGGGGCTCCTCAGGGGGGAAAAGCTTCCACAGTCCAATGGGCTCGGGAAACACCGAGACTCTCAGAAATTTATTATTCAGTTGTTTATCGTGTAAGTGACCCGCGAAGACTGGACTCCAATATGCGGTGTCCCCTGACTGATGTGACGGCGGAGTACGGAGACCTTTCTCAGGACTGACACAGACCGCGGGGCCGCAGCGGTTTGCTGGTTGTTAGGCGCGCGAGCTTAGCGAGGGCAGGGTTAGAGAACAGCCGTGCAGGCCGCAGGCAGCACCCGGCGAGCATTGGTGAAAGACGGCCCCCACGCTCCCGCCCGGCAGCCAACAGCCCTGTACCTCCAGGTCGGAGTTGATGGAGGACACCTCGGAGGAGCTGCTGGAAGACACTCGGGCCCGGATGACCTGAATAGGAGGGTACGAGGGCGGCTCCTGCAGCGGGGCGTCTCCAGCGCCCGTCTGTCCGTCGCCGGGCAGCCTGGTGGCACTGCAGCCTGCCTGCAAGGCGTGTGGGAAAGGACAGTTAGTTTACCTCTTTGCTGCTGAATTGTCAAAGCATTCACATTCAGAGTACTTCAGTATTCACAGGCACGAGAGGGCGTGCAGGACAGCGTGCACCTGCGCTCTCATCTCCTGGCCACCCGGCTCTCCTCCCAGAGCCAACCAGGGCTCGGTTTCTTGCGTGTCCTTCCGGATAGTCTGTGTATGTACAATCAATATGCAGATGTACATTTCCCCCTATTTCCCCAAATGCTAGTACCTTCTATTCTCTCTTTTCTTTTAGTACCTTGCTTTTTTTTTTTTTTTTTTTTTGGGACAGAATCTCACTCTGTTGTCCAGGCTAGAGTGAGTGCCGTGGCATCAGCCTAGCTCACAGCAACCTCAAACTCCTGGGCTCAAGTGATTCTACTGCCTCAGCCTCCCGTGTAGCTGGGACTACAGGCATGCGCCACCATGCCCGGCTAATTTTTTCTATATATATTAGCTGACCAATTAATTTCTTTTTACTTATAGTAGAGACGGGGTCTTGCTCTTGCTCAGGCTGGTTTCGAACTCCTGACCTTGAGCAATCTGCCTGCCTCCGCCTCCCAGAGTGCTAGGATTACAGGCATGAGCCACCACGCTCTGCCGTACCTTGCTTTTTTTCACCAAACAATATGCCTTAGAGATAGTTCTATATTAGAAGTTTTGGGGTTTTTTGGTAGCATTGTAGGTATTCACAATCTATTTAACTAGTCCCCTACTGATGGATGTTTAAAGTGTTTCCAATCTCTTGCTTTTGCAGTCAACACTGTACATCCAAGAATTCAAAGTATTTAAAGGATAAATTCCTAGAGGTGGAATTGCTGGATCAAAGGGCATGTGAATTTGAAATCTGGGTAGCTGTTGTCAAAAATGCACTCCATAAAGGCTTTCCCCATGCCTACCAGCAGAGTATGAAAGTGAGTTGGGAAGAGTTGGGAAGGTTTAATGGAGGAAGAAACTCGTGACATTTTCTTCCTGTCCATCTACCATCTATTAATATCTATCTGATTAATATCTATCTATCTCAGACCAGAGCTTCCTCACGGTGTTTCCTCAGAGATCTCTGGACTTTCCAAGTCATGCGGGCAGGATTCAGGGCATTCCACTGACATATGACAGGGTAAACAACCTGCTTCAGGACCAACAGCTTCCACTAATTAACCATGTGACCTCAGAAAGGTATCTGTCTCCTCTAAGTCTCAGTTTCTAATCTATAAAAGGGGGTGATAGTCCCTGCTTTGTCTCCCTTGAGGGGTGTCATTCAGCTCAGATGTCAATGCCCTGGACATGAGAGGAGAATGGTTACGAGTACTGGACCCCAAATCCAGCAGGGCTTTAGCCCTCGACGGGTTAAGCGCACAGTTTCAGGTGAGCGTCAGCTGGAAAGGCAGAGAAGGCACGCACAGAAGCCACAGGGGCAGCATTCCGGGACCAGCCCAGGAACACAGGTGAGGCGCCACCCCTGCTGCCCACCTGGGAAGAATGTCAAAACGGAAACCTCTGGGTGGGGTGGGGAAGCAGATGTCTCCCAGGAAGAACAGTGATAAATTCTATAACTTCCCAGGGCCTGGCCACACCTGAGTCAACAGACAAAACAGTTTTCAAGCACTCTGAGCTGACTATGAGGCAGGTGGTTCACACGGCCTCACGCCCCTCTGCCCCTCAAGGCTCAGCCTGAACGACAGGGCTGCTCTCCCGGTGTCTCTTGGAAAATCTCCCCTTAGGACCAGTGCTCAGGAGGGGCTGCTGGGAGAGTGAGGGGCACCCCTGCGGCTCCCGTTCCCATTTCCAGATGGCCATCCAGCAGGACGCACATCCATGCCCAGCAGGACCTGTCTCCCACCACCGTGCCCACGGCGACGTCCGCACTGACTGAGCAGGCGCAGGAGGGCAGCGGGCAGAGCGTGCTCTCTGTGTAGAAGGCCAGCTTCCAGAATCAGCCTTAGTTTGAAACCTAGCTTTGTGATTTTCTAACTATCTATGGAATCTTGGGCAAATTAACTTCTCTTTGTCTCAATTTAAAATAATATTAATTGTTCTTTCAATAAGCACTGAAAAGAAAAAAAATATTAATTGTTAATAAAATAATAATAGAAATAATAAATAGTACCACCTCATAGGGGTAGATATGGCAATTTTTAATAATAATAATAATAAGCACCCATTCATTGAGTGCTTACTTGGTCTCAGCCACTATGCCAAGAGGCTGTACAGCATAGAGGTCAATGGCACAAACCCAGGTCGACACAGGTCTGCAGCCTGGTTCCATCACCGACAAACTGTGTGTGTGACCTTGAGCACCTTAACCTCTATGTGTCCCAGTTTATTATCCATAAAATGAGACTAATAGCTCAGGGGTTGCTGTGAGGATGAAAGTTAATGTATCCAAAGCACTTAGACCAGTACTCCGGCCCACAACAAGCACGGTGCAGGTGCTGGCTGTTACCATGTACTCAGAGCAAGTGGCTCCCCTCAGTAAAGAGGCTACAGGGCAATGAACGGCAAGTCCCGCCCAGGCTGGACAGCGGGGCTCGGCCCCCTCTCGCCCCCTGGTGGACACAGGAGGAAGAGGCCGGTGGAGGCTCAAAAACGTGCTAGTGGCTTTGGTGGAAGGAAGAAGGAACATTCCTTGTCTCATGGAGTCTGTTCCCAGCAAGAATCCACTCAGGACTGAGGTCCTGCAATGGTTGCAGTGAATACAACTTTTGCATTGTTTTTTTTGGAAGTTCCATGAGTCAGAACTTTCAAGTGCAGCTAAGCTGCTGCCAGAGCTTGCTGTGCTTCCACGAGGGCTGCCTGCCACACACCCAGCCACCTTCCCTGCCGTCACAACGGCTTAATGGCAGCCCAGTGTGGGCCCCTAACTGGAAGAACACGCTCTGAATCTCTCTGAACTTCGTCACGGCATACACAGGGGTACTTGCAGCCGACATCCCAGGAACAACAGCAGCAAAGAGCCAAACCTATCTGTCAGGCCCAGGTGTCCCAGCACCAGGTGTCCTTGTGCAGCTGACCAGCTAACGGGGCCCTGCCACCATGTGTTCAAAGTGCATGTGTACTGGGAGCCCAGGACTGTGGGTCAGAGGAGCTGGAGTGACTGAGGCAGGAGGCAAAGCTTACATCTCAGCAGGAGACAGACAGCAAACAAAAGTGTAGGATAGTGATTAAGTGCTTTGCAGAGGAATTAAACAGGTGCTAAAACAGAGGAATAGGCGGGGCATGGGGGCTACTTCTGACTGGTGGCTGGGGAAGGACTTTGGAGAAGGTGAGGTTTAAGTTGAAGTCTGAACCATAAGAAAGAGGCAGTGTGTGAAGAATTAGGAGGAGGAGCATTCTGGGCAGAGGAATGGAGAGAAACCCTGTGCAACCACAGAGGAGTGGACAGGTGGGGAGGGCAGGTGGAAGGAGTGAACAGGTGGGAGGAACAGACAGGTGGGGAGGATGAGGAGGAACAGACAGATGGGAGGAGTGGACAGGTGGGAGGAGAGAACAGGTGGGAGGAGAGAACAGGTGGGAGGAGAGAACAGGTGGGAGGAGAGAACAGATGGGGAGGAGTGGACAGGTGGGAGGAGCAGACAGGTGGGGAGGAGTGGACAGGTGGGAGGAGTGGACAGGTGAAGAGAGGGGGCCCAGCCAGGAAGCAGCAGCTCTGGGCCCACAGAGCCTTGCAAGTTATCCATAGGAGTTTGGATTCTCTTCTGCCTGAAGTGGAAAGCCAGGGGAGCATTTGAACAAAGATGTTATGTACATTGGTAACAGAGCTGCTGCTGGTAGCGGTGGGAGGAAGGCCCGTAAGGAGGCTGCTGGACGCCAGACCTTCTTTAAAGGAAGCATTTGTAGGACTTGTGGTTGGGCTGGATGGGCATGGGATGGCGCGAGGGGAAAAGAGGGACTTTTGGCTTGAACCACTGTACAGACAAGTGGGGTCTGGGCATGGAAATCCAGAATTCCATGTTGGACAAGGCAACTGTGAGACGCCATATGGTGACGCTGACTAGGCAGCTGGGCAGCCAAGAAGAGAACTGCAGGGAGAGAACTGTGGGGAGAGAGAAGGATGGGGACAAGAAACAGGGAAGTCAGCAAGAACTGGCACTTAGGACTAGGGGACTGTGGGACCACAAGAGGACACCAGGAGAAGGGGGCCCTCCCAGGACAGGGCTTGGGACACTCTTGCTCTAAAGTCAAGCTTACAGGGAGGAGTCAGTAGAGGCCACGAGGAAAGAGCAGCCTGCAAGGGTGGCAGGAAAACCAGGAGGGTGGAGAGTGGGGGCCACAGAAGTCAGAGGCAGCTAGTGGCCAGGTGAGCTGAGTCCCAATTAGAACAGAAATGACTGTATTCAGCAACTTGGAGGTCACTGGTGACCTGGACAAGAACAGTCGTAGTGGAATAGTGGGGTGATGGGGTGAACTTCTTGTCAACTCTTTGCTAATCCTCTTCTTCCTGAGAACTGCTGTGTCTAAGCCAGACCCCCAGGAGACATCCAGAGTCCTCTCTCCCTTACCCCACATCCCAGCTCTCTCCACTCCACCTCTGCTTCTCCACCTGCTCCAGCCTCAGTTCAGGTCACGCTGCCTCTTCCCCGACTGCCTTGCTGCTGTTCTCCTCTCTCCCAGGCCACCACGCCCCAGTGATGGCTCTGAAATGCATGTCTGACCTTGACCTTGAGTCTTGGGCACTCAAGCCTCCCTGCCCCCCACCACCTCCTGAGGACAGTTAGGCACCAGGGTGTGAGGATCTGACTCCTGCCTCCCCTCACTCCTGTAAGGTACCAGAATATGTCACCCCAAAATATGCCTCCTTGGCATATGGATTATTTCGAACTAACGGCAACTGAAAACCAGCAAAAGCAGAAGCTATTTACCTCCCAAGTCTGTACCAGGAAGAGAGCTACTTCCAGAGTCCCTTATCACCTGAGACACCCTGGTAACCAGACAGCCCTTACCAACCAAACGGTTCCTCCCTTCCCCTTCCCCAAACTCACCTGCCCACCCAGGAAGCCCCAGGCCCTTTTCCTTTGTTTAGCCTAAAACAGTATGCAAACCTCAATCATCTGGCCACCTTACTGAGTTACATTTTTCTTTGTGAATTTCCCTGTACAAGTAGTTAAAGCTGTTTTTTTTTTCTCTTGTTAATCTTTTACCAGTATGATTCACAGGTCCCAGCCACGGAACCTAAGAGGGTAGGGAAAAGATTTTTCTCCCTTTCCCTTCCCTCCGTCTGCCCCTCCACTACAGCCTTGGAGAGCTCCTTACTACATCACACATGTCCCTGCCTTGTCCTGCCCAGACCTCAGCTAAGGTAGCGTCTCCTCCAGGAAGCCCTGCATGACTGCTTCCCACCCTCTTGCACACCGGGCTATATAGGCCCACGGCCACTCACCTGCTGCACGGGCTCGATGGTCAGCTCCATGTAGTGACTGATTGCTGCCATCGTCCTCAGTGACTTGTGGTGTGACAGTGTGGTGAGAGGTACCCAATCTGAATTCTTTCAAGTAGAGACAGAAAGGGGAATTCTTAAAGACAGGAGGCAAAAAATAAGGCCCTATTTTATTCAAGAGAACCCTCAGGATATTTTGTCTGTTTTTTTTTTTTTAAAACAGCACATCTCACTTTCTGCTTCCTACAAAATGTGTCTTATCTCTCTGGGGTCACAGAGGTCAGTGGTTCCCCTACTTTGCAGCATAGCAGCTTCTGCTGGGATCTTTTTTTTTTTTTTTTTGAGACAGACTCTCACTTTGTTGCCCAGGCTAGAGTGAGTGCCGTGGCATCAGCCTAGCTCACAGCAACCTCAAACTCCTGAGCTCAAGCAATCCTCCTGCCTCAGCCTCCCGAGTAGCTGGGACTACAGGCATGGGCCACCATGCCGCGGTAACTTTTCTATATATATTATGTTGGCCAATTAATTTCTTTCTATTTATAGTAGAGATGGGTCTCGCTCTTGCTCAGGCCAGTTCAAACTCCTGACCTCGAGCAATCCGCCCGCCTCAGCCTCCCAGAGAGCTAGGATTACAGGCGTGAGCTACCACACCTGGTCACAGCTGGGATCTTAAAAAACAAAACAACTCATGTTTAGTTCTCCCTCGCAGACATTTAATTGGTATGGGATGTGACCTGGACATTGGATAGTTTAAAAGCTCCCCAGAGGACTCTAATCTTGTTAGTCTTTTTTTTTTGAGACAGGGTCTCACTCTGTTGCCCGGGCTAGAGTGCCACGACGTCAGCCTAGTTCACAGCAACCTCAAACTCCTGGGCTCAAGCATCCTGCTGCTCTGTACTCGCATCCTGAGTAGCTGGATACAGGCATGTGCCACCCTGCCCAGCTAATTTATATATATATATAAATAAATATATACTTATACCTAATATATATATATGATTAAGTATTTAGTTGTCCAGCTAATTTCTTTCTATTTTTAGTAGAGACAGGGTCTCATTCTTGCTCATGCTGATCTCGAACTCCTGAGCTCAAACAATCCTCCCACCTTGGCCTCCCAGAGTGCTAGGATTACAGGCGCGAGCCACTGCACCTGGCCTCTTGTTAGTTTTTTACCAGTTTGATTCACAGGTCCCAGCCACTGAACGTAGGAAGGTAGTGGGAAAACGCTTTTGTCTCCTTCACTTCCCTCCATCTACCCCTCCACTACAGCCCTGAGAAGCTCCTTACTCTCACACACGTCCCTGCCTTGTCCTGCCCAGTCCTCAGCTAAAGTAGCGCCTCCTTCAGGAAGCCCTGCATGATTGCCCCCCCATCCTCTTGGACACCCAGCAAAGCCTGGGAACCACTGCAGTAGGTGCCAAATAAATGCTTTTGTAAAGCACTGGTTCTCAAACTTTAGTGTGCATCATAAGTACTCTGTGGGCTTGTTAAAAAACAGATTGCTGGACCACACCCTCAGTTTCAGATTTGGGAGGTTTGGGTGAAGGCCTAGAATTTGCATTTCTAACAATTTTCCACGTGATGCTGGTCTAGGGCCTACGCTTTGAGAGCCATTGCTGAAGGAGCTCCAAAGGCTTCCATCTCTCTCCTTAGAATACTAAGACACACAGAACTCTCTCTCTTAATGTTTAGTTCCCTTTTGGAGCTAACCTTCACAACAGTTGCTGAATGAAATGAAAATAATTTCCCACTAGGGCCTTCATGGGAACTTGGATCTTTGGTCCAAGCACCCACGTAAATGCTTTTACCTGTCATGTGCCACTTTCTTCTATTTCATTAACTCAGTCAGATTACATTGTTAAGCCATTTGGAGAACATCTGGAGGAGCAGTTTTCCCTTTTATCCACCCAAACACACCCTCCCACTTCGTCCTTCGCTGCCATGGGGAGTTCACGCACGGCCTCATTCCCACTCTCTGTAAGAGGAACTTAAGGTAGTGAAGAGCCCAGGTAACAGGTGAGAATTTTTTCACTAAAATAATTATCTTCTAAAAGAGGGAAGTGCCTTATATTCAAGTCCTTACAAGCTTGCTTGCTTTCTTTAATTTTTTTTTTTTTTTTGAGACAGAGTTTCACTTTATTGCCCAGGCTAGAGTGAGTGCTGTGGCGTCAGCCTGGCTCACAGTAACCTCAAACTCCTGGGCTCAAGCAATCCTTCTGACTCAGCCTTCTGAGTAGCTGGGACTACAGGCATGTGCCACCATGCCCGGCTAATTTTTTCTATATATATTAGTTGGCCAATTAATTTCTATTTATAGTAGAGATGGGTTCTTGCTCTTGCTCAGGCTAGTCTTGAACTCCTGACTTCGAGCAATCCGCGCCTTGGCCTCCCAGAGTGCTAGGATTACAGGCATGAGCCACTGCGCCCGGCCTTTTTTTTTTTTTTTTTAATTTTTAATTTTTTTTTATTTTAGTGTATTATGGGGGTACTAGTGTTAAGGTTACATATATTGCCCATGCCACCCCCCCCTTTTTTTAAATTTTAAAGAGATTTATTCTGAGCCAAATTCGAGGACTGTGACCCAGAGCCAAGACCAAGAAACTTTGAGCAAGCAGACTCCCTTACAAGCTTTCTTGTATTATGAAGGAGTTTCTCAATTACTTGGAACCAAGAACTTCTGAAGAAGACAAACTGGAGTAAGTTCTGTCTACTTGGAGAGGTCACCTGTTTAAGCCTGTAAAAGGAGACCAAACACATTTTCCCTGGACATGCTAACTGTTACTGGTGGCGTGACATATTTGCAAATGTTGAGTGTTGTTGTAAACAACACTTTTAAAGACCAGCTTTTTATCAATATCAACTAAAAAAACAAAAGCAATAGGGTAAGTGGTTACACTGCAGTAACCACAAATAGCAAATGGGTCCGTGTGGCTTAAGATGAATTTCTGGAGACAGCATCACAGAGATTCCCAAAGGCTACACCAAACAGCTTGGTGTGATGACAGGCTCTGGAACGCTGTGTTAGGTGGTGGTGACTGTGCAGATGTCAAAGATGTGTATGAAAATGCAAATACATTTTGTAATGGAATATGAGTGGAAAAATCAAATTATTTCAAAATTAATATATTAATGTATATAGTATGTGAATTTATATGTCTTAGTAAATTACTCAATAGCTTGGACATTTGACTATTTCATCCACATTGCTAAAAGTGTATTAAGTTCATTAAGTGATCAAAAAAAACTTAAAAAAAATTATACTAGCCTGGGCAACAGAGTAAGACTCTGTCTCAAAAAAAAAAAATTATAACTGGGAAAATGGAGGATCCCATTGCATCTAGGGTCACCTTAGCTTGGACAGGAAGACTGGCTTTTTAAAGTGACCAACAGAGGAACTTCCGGAATTCCCAAGCCCCAGCCCTTGTTGAGGCTTGCTGCCCCTGTGCGCTCCACGCCAGTACACACTGTGGGGGGCCAGAGGTTTCCAGCCAGAGACCTTGTCCTCGTTCCTCGCCTCCTGGTTTTCTTCCTCTTTCTCTGTGCAGGTCAAAAGGGCCTGGGTGTCGGGGCTCTCTCTGGCTTCGGTGGCAAATCCCAAGGCCCGTCTCATCTTGCTTCTCAGCACGCACGAAAGGAAAATGATCTGAGCCGGTGGCAGTTAAGGTAGAAGGATGCAGAGCACTCCCAGCCACCTAGTGTACCCTCCACTTCTCCACCGCCCCCAACTCTGGGCTGTCACCCTCCCCAGCACTGTTCTGCCTGGCTCTGCCCCCCATCAGATGTGCTCTTATGTGAGGACAGAGCCAGGCCTGACTCTAGGTTCCTGTCCCCACAAGGGCCCAGCACAACACCAAGACCCTGTTCCTGGAGCCGGGCACGGTGGCTCATGCCTATAATCCTAGCACTATGGGAGGCTGAGGTGAGAGGATCGCTTGAGGTCAGAAGTTTGAGACCAGCCTGAGCAAGAGCAAGATCCAGAGACCACGTCTCTACTAAAAATAGAAAAAATTAGCCGGGCATGGTGGCGCATGCCTGTAATACCAGCTACTCAGGAGGCTGAGGCAGGAGGATCCATTGAGTCCAGGAGTTTGAGGTTGCTGTGAGCTAGGCTGACGCCACAGCACTCTAGCTGGGGCAACAGAGTGAGACTCTGTCACAAACAAAAAAAGGAAAGAAAAAAAATTCTTTTGTTTAACATGTATTTCCCAAACACTTGTTAGAAACAGGGTCTTTTTATTTTATTTTTTGGCTTTAATTTATTTTTTTCAGCATATTATGGAGGTACAGAGTCTTACTCTCTTGCCTGAGCTAGAGTGCCGTGGCATCAGCCTAGCTCGCAGCAACCTCAAACTCCTGGGCTCAAGCGATCCTCCTGCCTCAGCCTCTCCCAGGTAGCTGGGACTACAGGCATGCGCCACCGTGCCTGGCTAATTTTTTCTATTTCTAGTTGTTTGGCTAATTTCTTTCTATTTTTAGTAGAGACAGGGTCTCGCTCAGGCTGGTTTCGAACTCCTGACCTTGAGCAATCCGCCCGCCTCGGCCTCCCAAAGTGCTAGGATTACAGGCGTGAGCCACCACGCCTGGCAAAAAACATCATTCTTGAAGGGCCTGGCTTATAGTGACAGCATAGACGGTGGGTTGGATGGTGTCCCTGAAAAATTAATGTCCACCTGGAACCTCAGCACATGAGAATATTTGGAAGTGGGGTCGTGCTGATGTAATTAGTTAAGATGGACTCACAGTGGATTAGGGTGGGCCCTAACTCCAATGACTGGAGTCCTGAGAAGAGCAGAGATACAAAAAGGGAAGGCCATGTGAAGACAGGGGGAGAAATTAAAATTATGCTGCCATAGGCCAAGGAACACCAGAGCCTCCAGAAGCTGGAAGAGGCGGGAAAACGTTCTTCTCTAGAGCCTTCAGAGGGGGTGGCCCTGCCTTGCTTTGGACTTCTGGGTTATTTACCCCCCCGCCCCCGGACCACCACAGTGGAGTCACCGGTCGCTGTCAGCATCTCCTGCCATCTCCTCCCTCGCGCCCGCTATCTGGACTCAGCTTGGCCTCGAAGCTCCGCCAAGGTCACCTGGGTGTCAGCACATCCGCAACACCCTCTGGGGACCAGGAAGCCGCTCAGCAGTCGCTGGCCAACGGCAGCACTCGTCAGCTTTTGCCTCTGCCTCTCCAAGGCAGGCCCATTATCACAGAGAGCAGGAAGGGAACAGCTCCCCGCCTGGGGGCAGCTGGCAAAGCCCTGGCCAGCCTGCGAGGAAGGAGAGGATGAGGAGAAGAGGCCACAGGACAGCAGGGACCACCCAGGATGAGATGCCCATGCAGGAACAGAACTCAGACTGGAACCTGGGTCCTCTCACCTCAGGGCCAGGAACCTTCGAACTCCCCCTTGCTGTTTCAGAAAGCTCCAACCGAGAGCTAACTTCTTATTTAAAAAAAAGAGAGAGAAAACACAAAACTGCAAATAATTGCGTTTGTGTCTGCCTGCCTCAGGTTGCAAACCACCTCCCTGACTGCTGGGAGAGTTCCATCGAGCAAGTGGGAAGGCGGGTGTGACGGGGTGTGGGTAGGGTGGGGATGAGACACAGGCTTCTAGTGGCTGCAGGCAGGCCACCCGGGAGTGGATACCGCAAGGTCCAGCGCAGCTCGGCCGAGGGAGGTCAGGAACCAGGGTGTGGCCCGCAGCAGGTACTCGGGCTGCCGGTCATGGGCCACAATGGCCGAGGCGTAGAGGAGGCCAGCCAGGGCCGACAGGAGCCGGGTCCACAGGTAGATGGAGGAAAATGTCTTCCCCTGGCACTGGGCAGAGAAGAACGCTGGATCTTGAGACCCAGGGCACTCAGTGGTGTATTGGGGTGGGGGCACTGCCCACCATCAGTCCCCAAGGGCACTACTTCTGTTAAACTTCCAGCTTTTGCACAAGTTGCTTCTTCTGCCTGTTGAACTCCTACTCATACTTCAGAACCTTAACTCTAGAAACTTCCCCTTCTACCTCCACCCTAAGGTGAGCAAGTAACTCGCTCTTCTGGGCCCTGCCACACTGACACAACCGGTAGCAGAGTGCCTGTTACTGACCACCACCCAGCTGTTTTTATAAGGGCCAATGTCCTTATAAAAAGGGGAAGGTTGGACACAGAAAGGTACAGGGGGAAGGTCATGTGGGGACACAAACATGGGAGAACACCATGTGCAGCCTGGAGTTATGCTGTCATGAGCCAAGAAACTGCCAGAAGCTGGGAGAGAGGCCTGGGACAGACCCTTCCCTGGCACCTGCAGAGGAAGCATGGCCCTCCCGGCACCTCGATCTCAGGGTTCTGGCCTCTGGCACTGTGATACAAGAAATTTCTACTGTTCAACGTTTGTGATACTGTGTTATGGCAGCCCTACAGAGCAACTTCTCGTGGTCGGGGCACCGTGCCAGCCCCTCCAAAGGTCTTCATGTGACATAGCTCAGCCCCCACCCTGCAGTACCCACGGGGCTGCTAAGCCAGCCCAGTGCTCCCCACTCCCTCTGTCACCTGCTGGGGAGGCCCCTACCTGAGAGGTTTCTGGCCGTCTTGGCACAGGCCGAAGTGTCACACAAACCACCACTAACTACCTGCCATCCCCCAATCCTGTCCCCCTGGCACTGCTATGGAACCATGGTGCTCTTGCGCAAGTCATTCTTTTTAAACTAAATGATGGGCCTGTTACATTTCATGATGTTAGCTTTGGCCACTGTTCTGTCAGCAAGACCGGAACAGCTGTCTGAGTTGTCTGCAGCGAAGACTCGGCAGAGCAGTTCCACACGACCACAATGACTCGCTGTCCCAGGTGCCATCCTGCACGGTGGCTTTTCCTGTGTGCTCTCCTCTGCCTGGACTGCTGTCCCAAACCTCTGCCTCCCCAAATCCCGCTTTCCCTTCTGAGCCAACATGGCACCTCCCCACCACCTGCAGCCGGCAGTGTAAACGGTGTTCACCCTTGCTCATGTGAGTAGTGTGGGAGCCTTCTCTCTCGCTTTCGAAACCCCAAACATTTGTTTCTTTCTTAGAGAATTAAGAGATCCAGCTTCACATTTCCGGGTTTTCCATGAGACCGGAGCACCCCAACGGTAAGACTGTGTCTCAGCTCCCATCTGTGCTCCCCACAGGACTGGCCAACAGGGGCTTCCCTCACACCAGAGGCTTGGAAAATACCCGCCAACGAGACACCTGATCTGCGCAGAGCTGCAGGACCTGACTGAGCTCTAAGGGGACACTTGTCTATGCAGCCCCAGGGCCTTTGTCCTGTGCGCCTGCTTCTCCTTCCTCCCGGAAGTGGGAGAGAAGGCAGTGGGCTTTCCCTGAGAGGCTCTCGCTGTCCTTAGGACACCCTGGGTCGGCTGCCCACCCTCCTCACATACCCCCTCCTCGCTGTCACACACAGTGACACCACAGCTCCGCCCCAGGACCCACAGCCCCAGCCCTGCCGCAGCCTCACGATTCTGGAGAGAGGGGGGATCCGGGAAGCCCAGGCGCCGAAGGCAGCAATGCTGCCCAGCAGGTAGCCGAGGAGTTCTGTATTTTCCTGCGAGAACAGGTGATATGCCGTCAGCACTCTGCACAGACTGTCCCTGTGTCCCAAGAAGCAGCCAAACCTGAGGAGTCTTTTTCTGCTTTTAGAAGCTTTCTCCTACCAAAGGCAAGGGCCCACCCCAGGGCATTTGCACCACCCCACATCCTCCCGTGGTGGCTCAGCCTCACCTGCAGCACGCTTGCCAGCAGCCTCCTCTGCAGTCCTCGGATGGGGGCTGAAGCCTTTGGGACAGTGGCCCAGAGAGCCCAGAGAGCCCAGCACGGGCCGAGGCTCAGCGGCAGGGCCAGGGCAAACACACTGGCCCTGAGCCGCTGCCTCCTCTTCCTGCCTCGGGAGCCCCGATCTGCAACAGACACCAAGATCCCACATGGCTCCAAGAACCCAGAGCTCCTCAGGTGGCTGCATGGGAAGAACTGGCATTGACTCCACCCAATGCCAGACTGGGTTCCCACGTTGTTCTAAAGGCCAGATCCCCCCTCCCCCAAGGCCCTGTGGTTGTGCCACCTCTAAGAAGCCTTTCCGCCACACCCCCACTAGTGGCGCTGTGATGTTATCTTTTACCATATGCACCTGTGTGCAGCAGCGCCTCTCCTAGACTAGACTCCCAAGGATGGCACAATGCCCTGGTGGTTCCTATGATCTCCGCAGAGCAGAACCGGCACATGCTTGGGGAATGCATCAATGAGTGACTGTATTTGTGCCAACACACCTAAACTGAGCAGGACAAAGGGCAACAAGCAGCATCTTTGAAAGTTTCCTTGAAATATGAGACAGACACTCCTCCCAGCAGTTCTAGTAAGAACATTTCTCCCCTGGGCAGCAGCGAGCAGCCGAGGGCATGCTACCTTACCCACCGACCCAAGCATTCCCTCTTTTATCGACGAGGGTCCAGGCACACTGCTGTACCTTCTCAGGAACTCCCAGACCCAGATACGCAGGGCTACTCAGCCCGTCTCATGCACTTTCAGCCCCTGCTCTGCCTGTAATGCCCACACCTAGTCCTGACATCCACTTCCAGGAGTTATGGGGCTTTGTTGGGCCACCCGGCCTTGCATGCTGAGATATCATTGTTCACTGCCAAAGCCATGCTGTCCTGTCCACCTGGAATGCCCTTGCCTGGTCCAGCACCCGAGCTTCCCTGACCCTGCAGCCCCTCCTGACTCTGGCTGTGCACAGCATGCACACATCTGGGAACCAGTAGCTCTAATGACTGCTTAGGGCCCTCTCCCTCATCTGGCTGGGGTCGGGGACTTCACTCAATTGTCTATGCCTGGCAGGGGCCAAGCTCGGGGCAAGACAAGGATAGGCACTCAGTGTAGCTATGAAGGAATGGATGAATGAAGACAGGAACAGCCAGCCACACACTCACCTGAATTAGACTTGAATTTGGATCCACAGACTGGGAGCAGAATGAACACAAAGTTCACCAGGTCAATAGCTGCTAGGTAGGCGCCAGTGAAAACCTGGGAGCAAATGGAAATAGAGTCCTGGTGGTCAAACATATTCTTTCAGCAACTGCAGTGCCTGTCGTCCTGAGATCCCTCGGCCCGGGGTTACACTGATGTGCTGCTTCCACATGTCAGTCCCGTGATGCCTCCCACCAATCCTGAGAAAAGTCTACTATCATTTCATTTGCCTGACAAGGTGACAAGAGTGTTTAAATGACAGATCCCAAGTGATGCAGATGCCTGTCAGTAGAGATGGGTTAAGAAGCCAGCTCTCTACTTCCTGTGCCACACTCTTTCCCTTGCATGGGGCAGCCTCTGCTATATAACTTTGGCCCAGCCACTGAGCTTCCTGGGCTTCAGTTTCCTCATCTGTAAAATAGGCATAATAATAGGGCCTCCCTCAAAGACTGTCAGGCAGACTACTTAACACAAGGAAGTGCTCAGACCAGCGCCTGGAGGAAAGTACCCTACCTGTAAAGGCACCAGCAGTGGGTAAGAGCATGCAGTGTGGAGTTTGAATACTGCTACCGCTACTTACTAGATGGGTGCCCTTATAGATGCTGTTTAACCTCTCTATGCCTCAATTTCCACATCTGTGGAACAGGAATAATGAGAACACACAGGTCATAGGATGATGTGAGGATTAAATGAGTTAATACATAAAAAGTCCCTAGTGCCCAGTATGTAGTTAAGTATTTTATCTTAACTATCATTATTGGACTTGAGCTGGGCCCCATGATATTCTGTCAGCTAATGGGCACCCAGAATGAAGAGTGATTTGCTTCTGAGATAACACGGCTCAAAGCAGGGTCTAGAACACTCCAAATCTGTGCCTGACCACTAGGCTGCCCTCCTTCATCCTACCTGGATGGGTACGAGGCCAAGACCAACCCCATGAGTGGCCCCCCACAGTGGGCCCAACAGGTTTTCTTTGGGATCTGCGTTTTGGGTAGGACCCTTCTACACAGGTGTGTTGGAGGGCCCAGACTTTTGGGAAATTTGAAACTACTCCTCACTCGTCCCAAAGCCCACATCGCCACCTGGGAAAGGACTCAGCCACCCCTGTATGAGCTGGAGCTCACATAACTGTGACAACAGCTATTTACTGAGCATTTACTAAGTGCCAGGTGCTGTTTTAAGTGAGGGGGAGCAGGACAGTAGATAAATCTTTGCCCTGTAGAGCCGACATTCTAGTGGGGTAACATACAAGGAACAATAAACATAATAAGCAAAGTATATGAGGTATTGGGGCTTAAGCTAGTGGAAGAGGGAGGTCACCATTGTAAACAGGGGAGGCCTTACTGAGAAGGTGGCTTTTGAGCAGAAGGAGTGAGCAGTTAGCGGTGTGGACGTGGGGAACAGAGCACTCAAGGGCAGAAGGAGCAGCAAGAGCACAGGCCCTGAGGCGACACTGTGCTCTGCATGCTGCATGCATAGTGGCCGAGAGAGAAGCCACCACGGCTGCAACAGAGACAGGGAGGCCAGGCCTGTGCTGGGCTCAGCACTGTCACCTGTGGGCCCGACATACCTGGATGGTGAGCTGTCTGGCTAGAACAGCCCCGATGGTGTCACACAGACTGCTCAGGAGGCAGCACGCGGCGCACAGTGCCGACTGGCCCTGCCCACATTTCTTTGCACATCTCAGATAGAGCAGCCTGGGGCGACAGGGGTGCAGAGAGAACACAGGAGCCGTGAGTTTGGGGACAGCCCAAGCAGGCATCTGAAAAGGGCAACTGTGACTTTCCAGCCTATGGAGCACTTTCTCCCGCAGGCAGTTGGCAAGTGTTTTGGAACTTAGTTTACAGATGGGAAAAGACCTAAGACTCCTGAGCCTGAGGTCAACAAGCCCATGGCAGGAGCTAGACCTCATACGACATGGGGACACCACCTCTCTAAGGAAGAATTACCTTCCTCCTCCTAATCAAGCTGACACCATCTAATGACCCACCACTCAGCACTGAAAAACCAGCTGTCAGGTTTTATTTTTTAAAATAGAAGCAGGAGGGTTATAAACATAATCCCACTGCTGCTGTTAACTGCAGAGTTAATTGCCTAAGTTTAAAAGGCAACTTGTTTCTCTGAAATCAAAGTGAAATTCTTCTGCTCCACCCGTGCAGTGGGGTGGCCGGGCTTCTGTTGGCCTGTGTCCAAGCTGAGCATGTTCTTTACACACAGGGAAAGCAAACTCCTGCCTTCTGGCACTTTGGGGTGCCCTCCCCTAGCACCGCTGCGGCTTCTCTCCCTGTGGCCCTCTGCCACTCACTGGCCACCCAGGAACACAGCAGAAGGGCAGGACAGGCTAGAAGGGGCCAAGGTCTCTCTGCATTGACGGGATCTGGGAAATGTTTTGTTCTAGATGTCTCCCTGCTGCATTTCTAAGGTGAAACTGAGGCACGACTGCAGCTCTGGTTTCATTTCCTTTACCCACAGGGTGGCCCTCCACACCCTCAGGACTGTTTGGCTGGTTCTGAGCGTCAGCTTTTGGGAGTCACGGCTGAGGGCAGAAGACTCGGACTCCTAAACACTTCCCAACCTGCCGGCCAAGCCCGAAGCTCATGGTGGGAACATCAACCTTTGATCTGGGCCCTAGGCTCCTGAAACTAATTCAATGCCAGAAAGCAGAGACTCAGAAATTCTCAGAGTTGGACCCAAACTAGAAATAATTTATTTCAACGCTCCCATTTGAGAGAGGGGAAAACTGAGGCCTACGGTGAGAAGGTAAGTTAACAGCACACCTTTGGCTCTACATGTGGAGGCTTTGCTCTGAACCCTGTTTTTCTCAGCCACTGACCCAGCTCTCGGGGTCAAGGTTCCTGGGTTGACCTTAACCCAGCTCACACACCCCTCGGAAGAGACACAGTCCCCAAAGGCAAACGGAGGTTCAGGGATGACTGAAGACAAACACCTCTGTCCAGACCCCAGGCAGGGTGAAAAGGCAGGCGCTCTGCTCTCAGGCTGGCCAGCTGGGCCTTCTCGAAGGAGCTACTTAACCTCTCCAAGCCTTGGGTTCCAGGCTGGTAAAATGCCTAACAGAGCTGACCTCAGGTTGGCTGTGAGGAACAAATGCGCTAATGCACGTACAGAGCTGCAGTAGTTTTCAGCTTCTAATCCAGATAGTTTCAATCTTACAAGCCGGGCCCTGTTCGGTAGGATCTGGGATTTTGGTTCTTTCCATTCAGACAAGCTATTTAACCTCTCAGGACCTCAGGGCTCATTGAAAGTGGGGGTAATAACAGTAGCCACTTCATGGGGTTCTGGCAGGGACTGAATGAGTTAATAAATGCCAACTGAACCCTCTGTAAATGTGCTGAGCGCCTGTGTATTGGTATTCCAGTCACTGGGTGCTGGGCTGCAGCATCTCTGCACCACGAAACGCCTGAGGGGAATATCCATTGAGTGCTAAGGTGAGTCAGTTCTCCCCCAGGGCTATTCTTTTACTCTTGACAGGGAATAGCGGGTGCCGCCAAACGTGGCCCTGCCTGTGGATTTCTGTGCTTGGGACAGGGTGGCTGAAGACCTGGAGACTTCACTCTTAGAACTCAGGCTACGGTGTCCGCCTGGTTAAACAAACTCCAGGTGTTAGACATACCAAGGCAAAGACTGTGGCCAGAGTCAGATTGTCACCACCCCCCTTCCAGCTGAGATAGTCTTGGGTAAATTGAAGCCAAAAGCACTGAGGGACTTACGGAGGTCCCAAGAGTTGGAGGCAGAGCTGGAGCAATAATAAATGAGCACTTACTAAGTGCCTTACCGGTACTGACTCATTCATCCCATCCATCCTGCGAGGTACCATCCCCATTCACACGAGGCAGAGGCTTTAGAACCTGTGCAGCTCACACCGCGAGTCAATGGGGAAGGGCTGACCACACAGCTCAGGACTCATGATGTCCAGTCCAGGGCCCCATCCACTGCACCACCCGGCCTGCTCCCGTTGGCTCACTGCCCAGCCTCCCCGTGCATGGAATCCGGAAAGAAGTAGCCGACTTCGGTCTACAGAGAAATGCTAGATCTGATCCTGGAACTGTGCTGCTTCCTCCATCCCCGCCTTCCGCCCCTTGCTCTAGGTTTCCAAGAGGGAGTACCTGGGGCTTAGCGCCCACTTCCCCCACGACACCCCCGCCACCCCGCGTCCCGGGCCCCATTACAGCGCGTGGGCGGCGATCCAGCAGGAGGAGGCGCAGATCCACAGGCCGAAGGAGATGCAGACGCGGTGGCGGGCGAAGCAGCGGTCCAGGTAGTCCCAGTCCCAGAGCGCGGGCGCGGGGCTGGGTGCCTCCCCCATGGCGCGGCTCGGCGCGTCGGTCGCGCTCCGCCCGGCCGGGTGCCCGAGCCTCCCGCGTGGCCGGGGACCCGCGCGCAGCCGCCCCCGCCGCGGGCAGCCCGGGCGCTGCCGCCCCGCGCCCCCTTCCCTGGGTTCCGTTCCGCCGCGGCGGCCGCAGCCGGGCGCACTGACCGCGGGCGCAGATGGGCGCGCTCCCGGCGCGGGCGGCGGCACAGGGGAAAAGTTTCCGGGCCCGCGCGGCGCCCCCCGCTCGCGCTATTGTCGGGGTCGGCGGGACGGAGGCCGCCCCCCAGCGGCGGGAGCCGGCAGAGGCCTCCGCACAAAGGCTCGGCCCCCGCCCGAGACAGCTGCGGCGCCCGCCGCCCGCCGCCCCTGTGCGGGCGCCCTCCGCCCAAATCCCGCGGCCGGGGCGCGCGGGCCGCCGGGCTCGGGGGGTGGAGTCCCTGCCGGGTCGCCGTGAGGCGCGCTGTCCCTTCTTCAGTTCACCGCAGTTCCCGAGCCACACAACACACACAGTCGCGCTGGCGAGGCGCTGGGAGCGGGCGATCCCGAGGTGACCGAGAACCAGGTACGATTCGGACGGTGGGGCGGGAAGCCGGGAAGCAGGGGACCGACGCGCGCGTGAGCAGGTACCCCTACATCTGCCTCCCACTCTCCTTTCCGAAGCCGTCAGCTGCGCCCTCCGCCCCCCATCGCCACCTTCCCGCGGCCCCCGCGGCCCGGGAGCCCGGTTGTCTTTGGACTCTGCGCGCTCCCAGCCAGTCACCCGCGCACAGTTCGGGTAGGCAGGGCTGCTGTTCTTGAAAACAAACTATTGTTATAATTTTAGTAAGTTTGCTTAAAGCATGTAATACATCATACATGACTGTCATTTCATTTTTTTCCCTTTTAAAAATATTGTAGCAACTTCACGAAGACATGGTTTCTATGCCATAAACTTTACCCCTTTAAGGTGTTCAATTCAATGGTTTTTAGTGTATCCATAGAGTTGTGCAAACAACATCACTATCTAATTTACAACTTTTTCATCACCACCCCCCACCCCCCGAAAAAAAAAAAAACGCTATCCATTAGCAGTTACTGTCCATTCCCCTTCAACACTCTCAGCCCTGGGAATCGCAAACCTATCTTCCACGTGGCGCCTAGATTTACCTATTTCGTACATTCCTTATAAATGGAATCATCCACTGTGTGACCTTTTTGTGGCTAACTTCTTTCACTTAGTGTAGTGTTTTTAAGGTTCATGGATGTTACATGTATTAGTACATAATTACTTTTTATGGCTGAGTCCATACATTGTATGGACATAGCAGTTGTTTTATTTATGTGTTATCAGTTGATGGACATTGGGTTGTTTTCACTTTTTGGCTATAATGAATAATGCTGCTATGAACATTTGTGTACAAATTTTTGTGTGGACATAGGTTTCCAGTTCTCTTGGGTATATACTTAGGAGTGGAATTGGTGGGTCGTATGGTCACTTTATTTTTAATGTGTTAAAGAGCTGCCAGACTGTTTTCCAAAGTGGCTACACTATTTTACTGGCTCAATCATTTTTAAAAGTTATGACCACTCACAGGAGAAATGAAATACTATATGTCAGGCATTGCTTTGTCCTCTGAAATTCCATGTTTGTCCCCTCCAATTCCATATGTGGACACCTAATCACTAATTTGCTGGTATTAGGGGGTGGGGTCTTTAGGAGGTAACTAGGTCGTGAGTGGAGATGCATGGAGAAGGTGCAGTCCATGAACCAGAAAGCAGGCCCTCACCAGACCGCAAATCTGCCAGCACCTTGATCTTGGACTTCCTAACTTCCAGAACTGTGAGAAATAAATGTATGTTGTTTATAAGCCACCAGTCTAAGGTATTTTGTTATAGCAGCTCTGGTGGACTCAGATAGGTGTTGTGCTAGGAGCTGGGGACACACTGTTGAGCAAAACAGACATGTACCCCTGCGTTTGTGAAGCCTACAGTCCAGTAGGAGAGAGAGACTTTAAACAAGCCATTGAACAGCGAAAGGCAAAATTAAAATATATTAACCAAAAGGGACCAAAATTAAAATAATAAAGCCATTAAGAGGGAGTGATATAAAATGAGTATCAGTTAAGGAATGATTCAAAGGGTTAACTTAGAAGGAAAAATGCGTAACCCAAGTTTCTCATAGTCTATAAATAATAAGCACCCACAGTGTCTTTCCTGCTGAACCGCTGCCTACACCACTGAAGGAATCCCAGTCGGAAATCCCCGCCTTCTGTTTCCTCGGGGGTTCTGGTATGTCCAGTGTCTTATGAATGGTCATGTCTGCCTTTATCTCCCTCAGATACCGACCTGTGACTGTCTAGATCCTGGCTCCTCTGCTGAGGTTGTCTACTAACCATCTTGCTAAAGCCGGGACATGTCTTGTGTCGCCCTCTCGTCACACCCTAGGGCAGGGCTACCTGTGCTCTCAGTTGCTAGAGATGTCAAGGTGCCACTCTTAATCTCATTCGCTCTTTGTCACTGCTTCCCTCCGTGTTGGGCCCAGCATAAGCCCCCAGAGGCTTCATTCCTTCCCACACCCCCGGACCAGATTTACACACCTCAACTAGTTGTTCTTAGAATAGTATTAATAGTTCTTAACCTTTTCTGTGACCTTTTTGAGAATCTGAAAAAAACTCATTCTTGAAAAATATGAACATGTTTGCACATACAATTTCCCATACAATTTAAGGAAATGTATGGGCCCCCCCACCCTGAAATTCAGCTATGGATTCTAGGGAGGAATGGAGCCCAGACTAAAAAACCCTAGTTCAAGGGCTTAAGTCCTTTCCTAGGAGTCCCCTGCCTAAGTGGCCGGGGAGTGTGGTCCACAGATAGTGGGCATCAGAATCACACCGACTGCCTGTCAAAAGAGCAGATGCACTAAATCCAACTCTCTGCACATGCGCCCTTGGAATCAGCCTGGATTAGTTTCCTGTGGCTGCTATAACAAATTAGCACAGATTTAGTGGCTGAAAATCATAGAAATTGATTCCCTCACAGTTCTGGAGGCCAGAAGTTTGAAATCCATTTCACTGGACCACAACCAATGTGTCAGCAGGGCTGTCCTCCTTTTGGGGGCTGTAGGGTGACAATTTATTCTTCATCTTGCCTCTTCCAGCTTCTGGTGGCTACCAGCATTCCCTGCCTTGCCTGCATCACCCTGTCACTTTCTTCCTGGTCATATCGCCCTCTCTTCTGTGTATGTCATACCTCTGTCTGCCTGTCTTGTATAAGGACATTTGTGACTGCATTTAGAGTCTACTCAGAAGACCCACAACAATCTCCACATCTTGAGATCCTTAACTGAATCACAATAGTAAAGACCTTTTTTCCATATAAGGTAACATTTACAGGTCCCAGGATTAGGACCTGATATCTTTGGGGGCCATTATTCAGCCTGTTACACGCATTTCCCCAAGCTTCCTGGTGGATTCATTTAAGAAACTTGGTTATGGAGATGGCCCTCAGTGGGAGCTGCTCCCAGTCACTGGATGTGCTGGCTCCTAGAAGGATGCAGTGGGAAGACTGGGGTTTTTGGAGCCTGCAAACCTTAGACTGGAATTCTCCCTCTGCCTTGTTATAGCTGTGCTGTGACTTGGGGCAAAGCACTGATGTTCTCTGCACTTTTGTGTTCTTACCTATAACATGAGGAAGGTCCAATGGTGGGGAGACACATGGCTCAGTTCTTGGTTCTCTTCTCTTCTCTACCTACCCTCTGTTGGGGATCTTGTGTTTTTGGCTTTAGCTACTATCCTGTGCCTGCACCTCCTGAATGTGTAGCTCCAGGGCACACCGCCCTCTCAAACTTTGGACTTATGCAACTGCCTACTCAGCATCTTCCTTGGCATGTCTAATTGAACATGTCTAAAACCAAACTCTTGGGTGGGCACAGTGGCTCATGCCTATAATCCCAGCATTTTGGGAGGCAGAGACAGGAGGATCTCTTGAGGCCAGGAGTTTGAGACCAGCCTTGGCAACACAGTGAAACCTTGTCTCTACAAAAAATTTAAAATTACCTAGGCGTGGTGGCATGTGCCTATAGTCCCAGCTACTCTGGAGGCTGAGGCAGGAAGATCACTTGACTTGAGCCCAAGAGTTAGGGTTGCGGCTGGGCACAGTGGCTCACACCTGTAACTCTAGCACTCTGGGAGGCTGAGGCAGGCGGATTGCTCGAGGTCAGGAGTTCGAAACCAGCCTGAGCAAGAGCGAGACCCTGTCTCTACTATAAATAGAAAGAAATTAATTGGCCAACTAATATATATAGAAAAAATTAGCTGGGCATGGTGGTGCATGCCTGTAGTCCCAGCTACTCGGGAGGCTGAGGCAGCAGGATTGCTTGAGCCCAGGAGTTTGAGGTTGCTGTGAGCGAGGCTGACGCCACAGCACTCACTCTAGCCTGGGCAACAGAGTGAAACTCTGTCTCAAGAAAAAAAAAAAAAAGAGTTGGGGTTGCAGTGAGCTAGTGAGCTATGATTGTACCACTGCAGATCAGTCTGGGCAAAAGAGTGAAACCTTGTTTCAAAATCAATCAATCAGGCAATCAATCCAAACTCTTGGTTTTCCCTCTCCCTTCCCAAACTCCTCACCTGCAATTTTCTTCACCTAGGCTGATCAGTGTCCTGGTCCTGTAAGGCCAAGCCCCTGTGCCTGCTCTCCTCCTCAATTAGGGTACTTCTTAAAGGATGATGAGCATTGTCATCTCACCAGGCTATGAGCGTTTTAGTCAGGGTTGTTTAGTTTTATACCTATATCAGCCCCTAGCTCAGTGCCTGGCACATAAAAAGGAAACTATTAACTGAATAAATAAAGTGATTTTTTTTTTTTTTTTTTAGACAGAGTCTCACTTTGTTGCCCAGGCTAGCTCACAGCAACCTCAAACTCCTGGGCTCAAACAATCCTGCTGCCTCGGCCTCCCAAGTAGCTGGGACTATAGGCATGCGCCACCATGCCGGCTAATTTTTTCTATGTATATTAGTTGGCCAATTAATTTCTTCCTATTTATAGTAGAGACGGGGTCTCGCTCTTGCTCAGTCTGGTTTCGAATTCCTGACCTTGAGCAATCCGCCAGCCTCGGCTTCCCAGATTTGCTAGGATTACAGGTGTGAGCCACCGCGCCGGGCCTAAATAAAGTGATTTTTAAACAGTCCATGCAAATGTGATATGCACTACAGTAGGGGCATGTTTAAAGTGCTTTATTGACACCTAACATCATTGAGTTGGTGTGTGCTAGAGAGGGCTTTCAAGAAATAACGTACAGCCTGGGTTTTGGAGAATGTTTGCCTTTGGCAAGGAGGCCCTCCTGGAGGCAGGAAGAGGTGGTGTACGGAGAAAGGCAAATAGAGGGGCTGCAGAATGGGCAGGAGATGAAGCAAGAGAGACAGTAGGCAGCCTGGTCTTGAGGGAATCAGGACTTCATCTTGTAAAGAACACATATCTTCCAACCAATTTCCCCCCTGTCATTAGGACCCCTCCCAGCAACTTCCACAGGGCTCTGCACGTGGTTGGCCCTCAGGAAGTGAATCAGTTCCCTTACCGGGCTCCTCAGAGGTCCAGCGGCTGCCCAGGAGCTAAACATAATAGTTTTTGGCCATGGTTCAGAGTTTGCCAAAAAGAAAAATTAACAAGAGGACCATAGTACTTGTCCTCTGGGCAGCGGGCCACGTCACTGCTAGTAGGCATTTCCTGCCAGCAGAGGCAGCAACCTTGGGCATTGTCCTTCTGAAGAAGGAAGGGCTGCAGCAACCTGGGCAGTCCTGCAGGAGTGGGCAGCTAACGGCGGCCATAAATCCCAGCCTTGTGGAGGGAGACAGGCCAGCAGTTCAATGGCTTTCTCTTCCAGGAGGTCACGTTGCTTCCTGCCAATGTTCTTATAAAACGCATTATTTAGAGGAAGAGATTGTGGCTACTGTTCAAACAGTAACATCAAAAACAACTCTGTTTCTGTCTGGTTTACCTGGTATAGAGAAATAAATTCTAAGAGAAAAGTAGTGGCCTTTCCAAATTTTAAACAATCCTACTGTGGACATCTTGGGGTATCCTGGTTGAGCAGGTGGCAGAACTGTTGGGAACTTGTAGAATGTACCCACTGGGTGACAGGAAGCTGCAGCATTTACTAACCAGTAGCCATCCTTACCGGTTATTCCATTTATATGAACTGCCCAGAATAGGCACATCTATATAGAAAGTAGATTAGTGGTTACTTAGGGCTAAGGGGAATGGGAAGATTGATAGCTTATGTCTAAAGGGTACGGGGTTTCTTTTTAGGGTGATAAAAATGTCCTCATCCAAGTTCTTGGGAGGCTGAGGTGAGATTAACTGCCTCTTCTCATTCCCTGTGTGTCTCTCCACAAACGGGTTAGCTATGAGCACATGCTTTCCTATGTCATAGTGGCTCTTGGTGATGGTGGTTTTCTACGTGGAAAGTCATGCTCCCCAGAGGCTTTTTAAAACTACACATGCAAAGGCCGGGCGCGGTGGCCCACGCTTGTAATCCTAGCACTCTGGGAGGCCGAGGTGGGCGGATCGCTCAAGGTCAGCAGTTCGAAACCAGCCTGAGCAAGAGTGAGACCCCGTCTCTACTAGAAATACAAAGAAATTAATTGACCAACTAAACATATATAGAAAAAATTAGCCGGACATGGTGGCGCGTGCCTGTAGTCCCAGCTACACGGGAGGCTGAGGCAGCAGGATTACTTGAGCCCAGGAGTTTGAGGTTGCTGTGAGCTAGGCTGATGCCATGACACTCTAGCCCAGGCAACAGAGTGAGACTCTATCTCAAAAAAAAAGAAAAACTACACATGCCAGCTCCCTCAATCCCCTGCCATATCAGGGATGTTAGGTGTGTATGTTTGAGGTTGAGAACCACGAATCTAAATAATGTACTCAAAGAATCCATCTAAAATCCCAGTCAAGTTTTAGCAAACTTAAACTGTTAAAAAAATGTAGAATGTCCAAATGGCAGTTTATCTACTTAAACCAATAAAACATCTGTTAATGGCAATTTAATTTTAATATCTTTTCAAAAAATTACCAACTTACAAATTACTTACAAATTAGTATACATTTGTGAATATGTTTACACAAATAAACACATCATTCTCTTAAGTTCAGCCTTCTATAGGAGTTTTCTAGGGCTCCAAGATAACTACTTTTAGTCAGAGCTGGTATTTCCAGGAGCCCCTCAGTCTTGACATCAAGACTGTTGGGTGCAGCTGTGCTCTACAAGAGCAGGGTCCATTCTAGAGTGCCAGTGTCTTGGAAAGTTCCACAGGCACAAGCAGCTTCTGTTATTTTTCCATCTGCACAGTGCAGACGCCATTTCCGTTGCAGCCCAAGTTCACATATCCAGGTGCTTATAGAGTCTACGACTTTTCTCTTTTTTATTTCTGTTGCCATGTTTTTTCCAGGGCTTCCCAATCACGGTCTCAGAACTCCCAGTAGCTGTAGTCACCATGCCATTCCCAGGCTTGTAACCCATCACAGCCTGGACTCCTTTGGTCAGAGCTCTCACATTCTCCTAGGAAATTAGAGAAAACATTATCTGAGAGATCAGCAGGCAAGGCAGTGGTCCAAGATCAAGGCCCTGGTCTCCAGCCTTTTTGGAATTCAGGCAGTGATGCAAGTAATGGGGAGTGGCTGTAAATACAGATGAAGCTTTGATTGCTGACTGCCACTCACCTCCTGCTGTGTGGCCCCTGGTTCTTAAGTTTCATGGAAGCTAATTTTCTCATGGATGGGGGGTGGGTGGCAGAGTTGTGGCCCAGTTCCTACCAGGCCACAGATTGGTCTGTAGCCCAGGGATTGGGGACTGCAGCTTTATGGGATATGAATGGTATATTTATGGTATATTTATGGACCATTTCAAGATAAATAGCAGTAGTAAATCACTCAGTGGATTTCTACCTCTTTCACTGGTCCTCTTTCTCCTCTTAGCTTTCAATTTTTAGCTTATCTCTTTTCCCTCCTCATTCCCTTGTCAACTTTGTTTAGTCCCATAGCTTCAAATGCCATCCATAACCGTCTATAACTAGACCCATAATATCTTGTCTTAATATCAAAACTCAACCTGCCTCACCCAAATTAGAAACTGACTCTAGACAGATTTTAAGTTTACTTAGCAAAATGAATTTAATCTAATATGATTTGCAAATGTAAAGTAGCATCCTACAATTTTCTTACAATAGCAAAATATTACTCTAGAAGCTAAAGGTTAGACACATGAATTATAGTTTTAATGATAGGTTTTCAGCTTTCTTGTACATTGCCTTTAGAAATTTTTTGTAAACATTATACAAATTCAAATTAAATGTCCTGTATGACAGTTGTAGGCCCAAGAAAGAACTTGTAATCTTTCTGCATAGTGGTAAATTTTCTTCCAAATACTGTCACAGACTTGGAAATAATTCAAACTAGGAGCCACAAATATCTAAGTTCTATCCTAGCTTTGTAATTTAAAGTAAGTCCCGTTGGGCGGGTGTGGTGGCTCACACCTGTAATCCTAGAACTCCCTGAGGTGGGAGGGTCCCTTGAGGATAGCAGTTTGAGACCACTCTGAGCAAGAGCGAGACCTCATCTCTACTAAAAAATAGAAAAACCAGTCAGGCATGGTGGTGTGTGCCTGTAGTCCCAGGTAAGGCAGGAGGATGGCTAAGACAGGAGGAGAATTGCTTGAGCCCAGGAGTTTGAGGTTGCTGTGAACTAGGCTGACACCTCAGCATTCCAGCCCAGATGACAGAGCAAGACTCTTTAAAATAAATAAATAAATGAAAAAAACCACAAGTGCCCCTGGCTAAGTCATTTAGTCTCTTTGTGCCACAATATCCTCAGTGGTCTAAGTGGGGATAACAACATTTGCTTGGCCTGTGTTCCTGGCTCATCATGTTATGCACACAGATAAAGCACCGGATAAATACCAAAACCTCCTCTGGATATAGCTGACATCCCCCCCACCCTCACTTTTTTGCTATAGTAGTCACTTAAAAACATTTTTCAAGTATATTAGATACAACTGTGTGATTTAACTTTCCTGCACATAAACCTGTCCTTTAAAATACTGCCTACAGGCCAGGTACAGTGGCTCATGCCTGTAATCCTAGCACTCAGGGAGGCCAAGGCGGGCAGATTGCTCAAGGTCAGGAGTTCGAAACCAGCCTGAGCAAGAGCAAGACCCCGTCTCTACTAAAAATAGAAAGAAATTAATTGGCCAACTAAAAAAACATAGAAAAAATTAGACTGGCATAGTGGTGTGGGCCTGTAGTCTCAGCTACTCGGGAGCCTGAGGCAGTAGGATCGCTTGAGTCCAGGAGTTTGAGGTTGCTGTGAGGTAGGCTGATGCCATGGCACTCTACCCCGGGCAATAGAGTGAGGCTGACTCAAAAAAAAAAAAAAGAAAACTGGCTACAAATTATAGCTGTGAAATAAGCAATTAAAGTTATTAATATTTTAAAAGTGCAAAAGACATTTATGAAGTCTGTTTCTTTAGCATTTTCTATCACCAAATGTGTTGGCTCAGAGAAAAGACAACTGACAAAATGAGTGAAAATATTTGCAAATCATAAATCTGGCAAGGGACCTGTATCCAGAATATAAAAAGAATTCTTACAACTCAATAATAATAGACACTTCTCCAAAGAAAATACACACGTGCCAATGAGCACATGAAAACATGCTGAACATCATTAGTCATTAGGGAAATATAAATCAAAATCATAATGAGATACCATCTCACATGTATTAGGATGACTAAAATAAAAAGAGGCAGAAAATAATAAATGTGGATGAGGACGTGGAGAAACTGGAAACCTCATACACTGTGGTGGGAATGTAAAATGGTATAGTCACTTTTGGAAAGTTTGGCAGCACCTCAAATGTTAAATATGGAGCTATAATATGAACCCCACTCCTAGCTATACACAGAAGAGAACTGAAAACCCATATCCACATAAATATTTGGACACAAATGTTCACAGCAGGGTTATTCATAACAGCCAAAAGGTAGAAACAACCCAAATGTCCATCAGCTGATAAATGGATAAACAAACTGTGGTGTATCTATATAATGAAATGTGATTTGGTAATAAAAAGGACAGTACTGATACATGCTACAACATGGATGCATCTTGAAGATATTATGCTAAGTGAAATAACATAGTGATAAAAGACAGCATAGTGTGTAATTCCATTGATATGAAATGTCCAGAATAGACAAATCTATAAAGAGAGGAAGTAGATCAGCGGTTGGCAGGGTTGTGGGAGAGAATGGGGAATGGGGAATGACTGCTAATGAGTATGGGCTTCTTTTTGGGGTGATTAAAATTTGTTTATGGTATGTGAATAATATCTCAATAAAGCTGAAAAAAGGTGTGTTGGGTCAGGAGTTAAAGAAAAAATTTAAAACTTACTTGATGGAAAAAAGTTTTGTCAACTACATTTTCAATCTGCTTTGCTTTTTTATTTCCAGCTGGCTGCATTTTTATTTCATCACCATTGGTTTTGTTCTCCAGGAGTTGCTGGTGTTGGTACTGAAAGGTCACAGGATCTTTTCCAGGAGGAGAATGACAGTACAGCAGCTTACCCTACAAGGACAACAGGAATGATAACAGAGCATCCTAAGTACCATCTGTGTCTTCAGAGAAAATATCTCCAACCAGTCACACTCTGATGGAGCTCTGCTTTTTGCTTAAGCTAGCTGAGATGGGTTTTGGTCTACTGCACCTTAAGAGTCCTTACTCTAATTCACCAATGATGAAAGTGTTCTAGAGACCTAGCTCTTCCCATGGCCCCCAGGCTAGAATGAAATCACTGTCTTCTCTGTGCTTTTTACCTTGTTTGCCTTTCAACTAAAGTATTCTTCAATACATTTATATGATTATAAGTATGGTGAATATTTTCCAAACAAAACCCAGGACACAACTGGACAGTTATGACTGTACTAACAGGGATACTGGGCTATAATACTGAAATTAAGATAGTTCCCAGAATCCTGTATGTGGGTTGCAGTTGCTCATTGGGTACAAATTTGCCTCTTTCCACCATAAATAATCTAAAAGCTCTATTTTAAACTCATCTTTGCATCCTCCACAGTTAAATAAAGGGTAAATTAATAAATGACTTATCTACAACAATAGTATTAACTACTTTCTTCCCAAACTGAAGGCAAGATCATATGGCTGCCCACTTTTATTTCTATGCTCCAAGAGCTCCACAAATGTGGTTTAAGAAGAGGAGGAGCAAAATCCTCACAATTAGTTATTATCAGGGCCCTGCAATTCTTTTGTAGAAAGAGTTAAACTTAATATATAACAATTATTGGGAGCTCATCATGTATCCAGCACTGAGCTTAGTGTTTATTTCCCATAATGATCTCATAAGACAGGCACTGTTAAATCCCATCTTACTAATAATGAAAACTCAAAATAGCACCTTCTTATTTGTAATAGGAGAATAACCCCACAGATTTGTTATATATTTTTACTTAGGTAACACTTGTAAAACAGAACTATTTGTAAAACATAACTATTCCTAGCAGAGTTACCTTTGAAGAAATGTTAGCTATTATTATTATTGTGTACAGATATAGGGATATAAATAGCTATACTACAAGGAAGACTGTGACAATAATTGCAATTGAAACAAGAAAAGGGCTGTAGGAAATCAAAAAACCAGATGCATAAATTGATAATTTTCACTCAAAATAGGTTCAGAAATCTTTGTGTTTCCTTTTATGTTATTAGTCACTTGTATAATTCATATGATGTTAATTACCCTGAATCAAGAACATAACCCCAGTGATAACACAATCTCAATGAAAAAATATCTCCCCTATATACATATATAGGGGAGATAACCTATAACTTAATAGGTTGCCATTATCTAAGAACACACTGTGGAAAAAGATCTGCTTTTTTGAAAGCGATATGAAACCAGATTCACTCACATTGACGTAATCCTTTAGGATATAGCGTGCAGATCGAGGTTGGTCTGGCTGCCCGTGTGCTGTCATGTATCCTCGCATATCTGTGAAGAGAAATGAATTTTGCAAAACTCAGAAGACAGAATATCACAACAAAGACAACTGAGGTGATGCACATTTAGTCATTTAGTCTATTACTACACTATCTATGCATTCTTTTTTTCTTTGAGACAGAGTCTCGCTTTGTTGCCCAGGCTAGAGTGAGTGCCGTGGCATCAGCGTAGCTCACAGCAACCTCACACTCCTGGGCTCAAGCGATCCTCCTGCCTCAGCCTCCCGAGTAGCTGAGACTACAGGCATGCGCCACCATGCCTGGCTAATTTTTTCTATATATATTAGTTGGCCAATTAATTTCTTTCTATTTATAGTAGAGACGGGGTCTCCACCCTTGCTCAGGTTGATTTCTAACTCCTGACCTGGAACAATCCGCCCGCCTCGGCCTCCCAGAGTGCTAGGATTATAGGTGTGAGCCACTGTGCCCAGCCTATCTATACATTCTTAGTCCTACTTTTTAAAAATTATCATTGTAAAATATATTTTGGTTAGCATTAAAAACATTTGATAGGGTTGGGCGCAGTGGCTCATGCCTGTAATCCTAGCACTCTGGGAGGCCAAGGCAGGAGAATAGCTTGAGCTCAGGAGTTTGAAATCAGCCTGGGCAAGAGTGAGACCCCCCACCCCCGAAAAAATAAAAATAAAATTAAAAAAATTTGATAATCTAGGAGAATAGACTCTATAGTTATATCTGATATTTAACAGCCACCTAGCACCACACTGTGAAGGACACATTCAATTTCTCTCTACTCCAGTTATTTCTTCCACCTCATTTTTAAGAAATGGGGTCTTATTATGATGCCGAGGCTGGAATGTGGTGGCTATTCACATGTGTGATCATAGTGCACTGCAGTGTCAAACTCCTGAGCTCAAGTGATCTTCCTGCCTTAGTCTCCTGAGTAGCTGGGACTATAGGCACACACCACTGCACCTGGTCTATCCCTTCATTTTAAACATTTATTAGGCTCAGTGTGGTGGCTCATGCCTGTAATCCTAGCGCTCTGGGAGGCTGAGGCAGCAGGATTGCTTGAGCCCAGGAGTTTGAGGTTGCTGTGAGCTAGGCTGACACCACAGCACTCTAGCCTGGACAACAGAGTGAGCCTCTGTCTCAAAAACAAACAAACAAACAAACAAAAACAAAGAGGAAAAAATAGTCTATTAAAATTGTCAACTTCTACAGGGCCAAAGAAACCATAAACACTAGGAAAAACACATGTACCATACGTAACAAATAATTCCTACAAATCATTAAGACAGAAACAATGCATAGAAAAAGGTGATTCCCAGAAGAAATATAAATGGCCAACACACGGAAAGATGCTCAATTTCATTAGTATTTAAAGAAATACAATGTAAAACTAGAGTAATTTGGCAATGTCTTTTAAAATTTATTGCCAGAGACTTTATTCTGTATGGACCTGCAGACAATGATCTTAGAAACTGTATGTGAGTGGTCATCTGTTTTCATAAACTAGCTTTTTCCTCACTCTAATTTTATCAGATAGCATTAGATAAAAATTTTTCAAAGATTCACATAATTTTCAGTTTTATCTGGAAGTCAAATCAAATTGAAAGTTTGGTGGAAGTCCACCTTTCCTTGTCTTTCAGGCTAGCATGTGGAGTGAGGTCTCATCCAGGCTATGCCACCTTATCTTGGGCAAGTCATCTATGAGTTCAGATTACTTGTCTTAAAAAGGGGGGCTAGAAGGTGGGGTGATCGTTAAGGTTTTTTCTTGTTCTATGACTCTGTCATTACAGTAGTCTTACCACAAATGGTTTATTTATACTCTTTAGAGTCTTTAAGTTCAAGGTCTGATTTAAGTGTGATTCATATCAAATTACCTTTCTCTGTCAATAAATACTCAAATAACTCATTCCTTTCCAGCCAGTGACAATCCCTTTAAAGACAAGCCACACAAGCATGGAAATGTTTCTAACATTGTTATTTCTTTAGGTAGACACAGATTCTCCAGACCACCTTTAAAGTTTATATTTAAGTAGGAAATGATAGCTTCCCATGTAGAACTGGGGTAAAACATGGAGGTGGGAGAGCTATGGATGGACTCACTTTAATGTCAATAAAGTTTATAAGGGGCTGATGAAAGGGAAAGGAGGATGCATTATGCCCCTATCCTAACCAAGATCCATCCTGTCCCAATCTCTGGGGGAATTGTCTTCTGATGCTTCCCTTGTAACTTTCCTCTCCCACTCTGATAACCATATTCATTTTTCCCCAAACATCCCTTTTCTTCTTTGTCTGGGAGAAAACTCCAGAAAAAGCCAACACAGCTTCAGATCAGGACTCCTGTGCCTGCACTTGGGTACCACCAAAGCAGCATATGGCCTAAAGGCTTTTGCTTTACGCTACTTTGTAGGCAAGGCCAGCAGAGACAACAAAAATATCAACCCTGGAAGATAATGTGAAAAATGCTAAAGAAAAATCCTAAATTTGTATCTTTGGAGATATCTTTGTTCACGTTTTAAAATAAATCAAGACTCACATCCATAAGCTGTCAACAGTTCTTCTGACGTTGGAGGTCGATGGGGATCTTCGTCCTCTCGAGGCTTTATGATATTAATGCCATAGGTAGATTCTAAAACATGTCGTGGAATATTCTGGCAAACATAAGCTTGTTAAAGAAACCATTCTCTTAAACCAACCCTATCCTCCCCATGGCATCTGACATGTGCCTGTAAGAACATGGTAAATACCACGTCTATGACAAATACCCTTTCTCTTCTCCGAAGGACAAGTACAGTTATTCAGCAATTTTAAAAGACAGAGTTGTGGGCAGGCATGGTGGCTCACGCCTGTAATCTTAGCACTCTGGGAGGCTGAGGCGGGCGGATTGCTCCAGGTCAGGAGTTGGAAACCAACCTGAGCAAGGGTGGAGACCCTGTCTCTACTATAAATAGAAAGAAATTAATTGGCCAACTAATACATATAGAAAAAATTAGCTGGGCATGGTGGCGCATGCCTGTAGTCTCAACTACTCGGGAGGCTGAGGCAGCAGGATAGCTTGAGCCCAGGAGTTTGAGGTTGCTGTGAGCCACAGCACTCTCTCTAGCCTGGACAACAAAGCGAGACTCTTTCTCAAAATAAATAAATAAATAGGCCCTGATAAAGACTGTGTAGTTGGCTGGGCGTGGTGGCTAATGCCTGTAATCCTAGCACTCTGGGAGGCCGAGGTGGGCGGACTGCTTGAGGTCAGGAGTTCAAAACCAGCTCTGAGCAAGAGCGAGACCCTGTCTCTGCTATAAATAGAAAGAAATTAATTGGCCAACTAATATATATAGAAAAAATTAGCCAGGCATGGTGGCACATGCCTGTAGTCCCAGCTACTTGGGAGGCTGAGGCAGGAGGATTGCTTGAGCCCAGGAGTTTGAGGTAGCTGTGAGCTAGGCTGACGCCACAGCACTCACTCTAGCCAGGGCAACAAAGTGAGACTCTGTCTCAAAATAATAATAATACAAATAAAATAAAAGACACAGTTCTACAGTTACACAAGATTATTTTTCCTCCCATGTCTAATTCCGCACAATTTATCTATACTTTCCTTAGGCCACTAACAATATTCTACCTTGAACCACAGTTGTTTGTGTACATGCCTCACATCCACTGATCTCCTTAAAGGGCAGGATCCACCTCCTATTTATGCCTATATCCTCCATAGCACTTAACCTAACATAGCTTGTAGTAAATGCCCAGTACATGTTTCATTATTCATCTACAGAGGGACTTAAAAAATATAGATGAGTATAACACTTGTGTTTCCAACTACTGAGAATTAATGTTTCAAATAATTTAAATTTTCAAAATTTAACCTTTTAAAACATTATAGTAGGTTGGGCACAGTGGCTCATGCCTTTAATCCTAGCACTTTGGGAAGTCAAGGCCAGGAGGCCAGGAATTTGAAACAAGCCGGGGCAATAGTGAAACTTGCTCTCTACCAAAAAACCCCAAAATACATTATAGTAGCCTCTTCCCCCATCCAGAGTTAAGTAGTTTGTGGTGCATCCTTCAGTCCACTTTTCATACTTTTAGGTATATACGTATCTACGAATACAAATATTTTTTGTGAGATGAAAATTTTT